TGTAGACGGTATTAACTGCTCTTGATCCCTTTGTATGAAGCGTTTTAACCGCTGCACATGCACAATCTCCGGAGGATCGGCTTGGTGAACATCATGCCGAACCTCATAAACTTGTGGTCCAACTTGCCGCAACACCTGATACGGTCCTTTCCACTGCGCAAGGAGCCCCTTAGATAAACCACGTACCGTAAGATGGGGAAAACGGACTAACACCAAATCATCCACTTTGTACTCCACTGGTGGACGATGATGGGAATTGTAATGCCGTTGTTGTCCCACTTGTATGCGGCCTAAGTGTTCAGCAGACTCTGCTCGGACAAGTGGAAGAATGCTTGTCAAATATTGATCCCATGACCTAGCATCAGGGGCTCGTGGCAATCGCGAAGGTAAACCCAGCTCTGTTGGTAATATTGGATCATGACCATATAGAAGTTTATATGGTGAAGCACCAACAGAACTCTGCACCCCTGTGACATAAGCATACCGAAGAGACAGCAAATAACCATCCCAATCCGAATGTTGAAAGTTCATATACTTCGCAATCATCCCTTTGAATGTCCGAACGAGCCATTCCACCAGACCATCTGATTGTCGATGATAAGCACTCGTAAAAGTGTGGCGTATCCCCAACCGAGATGTCAAAACATGAAATACCTCAGCCATAAATGCAGGACCATTATCCGAAAGAATCCGTTCTGGACAAGAATGCTGGAACACCACTCGATTGAGGAGGAAGTATCCAACAGCAGTTGCAGAGGCACTAGCAAGAGTACCAACTTCCACCCAACGAGTCAAGTAGTCAGAAGTAATAATAACATACTCATTGCCAGCAGTCGATTGCGGAAAAGGTCCCATAAGATCAAACGCCACCAACTCAAACGGACGAGAAACTACAATTGACTCCAACCGTCCTTCCGCAGCACAAGGGGGAGTATTACGAGCTTGGCACCAAACGCAGCTACGCACATACCGGAGAATATCACGTCACATCTCTGGCCAATAGAAAGATCTGCGCAGCTTCTCGGTGACACGACGGTGTCCCATATGCCCACCTAGAATAGGAGAATCATGGTAGGCATGGAGAAACCGCGGAATAAACACCGAAGGCACCACCAGCCGTAAATGAGCATCAAGATCCGTCCCTACAAAATAAAGAAGGCCATCTTCAAGGCGATATTGAGAATGTAAATGCCGAAAAGGCAAGTCATCAGCAAGTGATGCAGGATTCTCAAACCCATCTCGAAGCCTTCGAATCCACGGCTCAATCTTTTGAGCCTCGCGAACCTCATCCAGAGAAGGTAGATCTTGCTCTACGCCCTGTGGACACTGAACGTCAAGGACAGCAACTGCCGACGGCATAGAATCTTCATCTAGAAAATCCACAGATGCTAGAACAACAGGTTCGTCAGAAACATGAGAAGTGAGTGGAGAAGGAAGAGGAGCTCGAGAGAGGGCATCAGCATCAGCCATAGAACTCCCTGGGCGATGAACAACATCGAAATCATATATCTGAAGCTTCAAAGCCCATCGAGCCGTACGACCAACCAGGTTCTTCCACTTCAATAATGAAGTAACAGCAGCATGGTCACCTTCAAGTAACGTCCGAGAACCATGTAGATAGGCATGAAGTTTCTCGAAACCCCAGACCGCTGCTAAACACTCCTTCTCCGTCGTGGAGTAGTTTATCTCCACTGGTTGAATTTACGGCTTATGTATGCAATGGGATGGCGCTGACCAGGCACACTCGAGCTCTCTTGCATCAACACACCTCCAAGACCAATGTCAGAAGCATCCACGCGCAAAATAAAAGGTCGAGTGTAGTCAGGATATGCCAAAATCGGAGGAGTCGTCAATAGCTCTTTGAGATTCACGAACGCCCGCTCACAATCGGGAGACCAGATGAAAGATGACGTTGATGACTTCAGCAACGCTCGCAATGGTATAGTGCGATCGGAAAGATGATCCACAAAACGACCGAGATACTGCACCTTACCCAAAAAGTGCTGCACATCATTCACACACTTCGGAGTAGGGAACTTTAGAACAGCCACAAGTTTGTCAGGATCAACTTGCAAACCCTCACGAGAAATACGGTACCCAAGATAAGTTGTGTCCTTGGACCCAAACACGCACTTCGACCGCTTCAGCTTTAAACCAACGTCGCATAGCCGATCCAACACTTTACAAACATCACGAACATGCTCCTCCCACGTCCCCTCCGAGTGGATCAAGACATCATCAATGAAGTCAGCCGTCACCTCCGGCATATCGCAAAGAACCTCGTCCATCATCCGCTGAAAAGTTGCTGGAGCATTGTTCAAACCAAACGGCATCACCAAAAACTCGTACAAACCAAATGGTGTACGAAAAGCAGTCTTAGGAATATCATCTTCAGCCATCGGTACTTGCCAATACCCAGAAGCAAGATCTAGCTTGGTGAACCAACGACTTCGCCCCAGACGATCCAAGAGATCAGCAGTGTGAGGAAGAGGGTACATGTCCGGGATTGTCACTTCATTTAACGGACGATAGTCGATGCAGAAACGAATACTCCCATCAGGCTTCGTCACAAGATGAGGTTCACATGCCCAAGGACTCCGCGACTTCCGAATAACACCCTTCTCCAACATCTCCTTGATGTTTGCACGTAAAATCTTGATCTCCTTGGGTGACCGACGACGAACAGGAACCTTGATTGGACGAGCATCCCCGGTTGGAATGGGATGATGTGTGGCAATCTTGGCCCCAGACGATAGGTCAAATTCAAAGAGATCAGAATACTCCTTCATAAGCTGGTCAACAGCTACAACACAAAGATCATCGAAGGGATCGGAAAAGGGAAGAGCAGAACAAGATGGAAACACAAGAGGAAATAATGGGGGAACAAAAGTAATGGAAGCAGAGGTAAAAGTAGAGGGACGAAGAGGTACGGAAGTGAGAGGAATGGATGAAACATAAGGAAGTATGAGACAAGGGAGAAAAGCCTCAAAGTCACACTTGGCATGATTGTGCTGCAACCAATCCATACCAAGAATGAGGTCAAAAGATTGACTCGGCACCACCCGCAATGACTGCAACTCAAGCTCGAGATCGCCCACACGCACAACCAGGTCCGCCTCATCTCGTGCACATGCATGTGTATGGCCGTTGCCATAAAGAATGAAAACTGGATCTGCCGCACGACGCAAGTGTAGACGACAACGTGTGGCAACAGGTCGAGCAATAGAAGATAAACTCGAACCTGTATCAACCAACATGGAGAGAAGAATAGGAGACCTCTTGTTATAAAAACGAGCTTGGAAAGTAAACACTGGATGAACCGGTGCCGAGTGAACCCCTTGATGATACTCCCGAAAGAAAGATGGAGGGGTCACTAACTTATTCGCGCAAGGTCCCTCCATTACTCGCGCGACTCCTCTTTTCCCGAATGCACCTTGGTATCCAAACCTTCCACCGCAGCAGCACCAACGGGACGTTGCTGACGCCAAGGGCTCCACCCAGGAAATGGAGGTCGCCAATCCGGAAAGCACCGACAACGCCGATAAGTATGACCAACTTCATCACATGCCCAGCAACGAACGTCACAGCCACGACCACGTCCTCGCCCTTGTCCTTGGACTCGAGTAGCAGCAGCATCAACCTCCATGGGAACAAGACCATCACTCATAGGAAGTGGAGCTGAAGGACGTGTAGCAAGAAGTGGAAGAGGCGACGTCTCATAACGTTGTGCCAAGCGAAGAGCATTGTCAAGAGTGGCAGGAGCAAGTGCATGCACAAGTCCGACAAGATCTTGACGAAGTGCTAGCCACAGCATTCCTAGCTTGATCCGCTCCGACATATTTGGCTCCGCACGAAGCAAAAGACTTCGGAAACGAACGCCAAATTGCATCACCGACTCAGATGGCCCTTGGCGAAGACGATGCAATTGTTGGAAGGCATCATCACAATCGTCGGCGTGTCCGAAGGTGCGTTTGAAGACGTCCGGAAGAACACTCCAATCGCCACGAGTAGCTGCGCTCAATCCATTGTACCACTGCAATGCCGTCCTTTGAAGACATGTGGGGAACTCACGCAAATGTCGAGTATCATCCCAAGAATGATATGTGGCAATCACCGTGAAGTGATCGAACCAATGGTACACATCATCCCCAGGATTCCCACGAAAGAACTCCGGCCGAACGCGAGGATTGGCACCAAAAGCAGGAGGAGTTGTACCATGTGCTGTGAACGCCGCCATCAACTGAGTTTGGTTGTTCAATTGCAAGCGCATAGCATCAAGCAATTGAACCAACTGCTGCTCTAGAGTCAAAGGAGGAGATTGCGGATCGGCCATGAAAATGAATGAGAAAGAAAGAGCAAAAGAAGAGAAATGACAAAAAGCTGGAAAGAAATGGTAGATCTAGACAATGCAAAAAGCTAGATCTAAACCAAAATCCTGAAAGGAAAGAACAAAAGAAAGGAAATGGAAAAAGCTAGATTTAGACAATGCAAAAGCTAGATCTAAACCGAAATCCCAAATCCAAGCACTCCTCAGGGACAATTAAAGGTGCTCCTCATCTCCACCAATGTGAGTGCATGGAATATGGAAAGGGAATACAGCAATGTGCATCTCAATTAGCCCAAAAACCCTAGCTTATATACAGGAGCAAGTGGTCCGGATTGAAATCAATCCGACGGTTACCAAAATCCACTACGCTAATATTAGTATACGGCATTGTAGCCGTACACTTGGCCCTCACAATAGCTAAATATATGCTTCATAAATTATTAAATAAAACTTATGACTAAGCCTAGATATGTAAAAAAAAATATTTTGGAAATAATTGATTTGAGTTTTGAGTTTAAGGATGAAAAAACATATAGGAATCTATAGAAAATTTCGACCAACAAATGTTTACATAAAATAAATGATAAATTGGTAAAATTTATGAGCCTTGTGATGCAAGATGTCTTCAAGTTTGCAAAAATAAAAGAGAATTGTCCCTCATTTGTACAGTCCAGATAAAAGGTTTATTGTGAATTTCTTTGTTGTCTTAGCTTTGCAACAAACCATATCATCAGTCTTCTTGCTTAAGCCTTTCATAGCATACTGGTTGTGCGCTCGCTTTGTAAGCGAGAGGTCGTGAGTTAAGGCATTGCATATGCTTTCTTTTTCCGCGGCTTGGAGATGCAAAGCTCAAGCGATATATGATCCACCAAATTGAAGCTTCGATCAGGCCCCAGTTCTTACATGGTACTTGGCATCACAAAAACATTAGTCGAAAAGTGAGTAAAAACTTACATAGAATCAAGAGAAAAAAAGGTACCAAGTCTATCTCCATGCTCGTAAGAGCATCCCCAGAACTAGAGCACTGCCGAAAGCAATATGAAGCCTAACACAAAAGTATTTGGCAAGGAATATTTTTTTCTTGTCCTGCAATTAATCACTTGTTATTGGCCATCGAAACCACAAAAGACTGTATACTTACGTGATGATTTGACGAGACAAAATCCACAACCATTTTTCCAACCGGGAGTGTGAGCAGGCACAAAGCCGCACACGGCAGAGGCAATGCTTTGAGAGCCGCTAGAGCACAAAGCCCTGTATACAGCCCAGTGACTAGGAAAGTCACAACTTTCGACCCATTCTCCGTGCCAAGCCTCACCTGACATAGATATCAGAGTGATGGATTAGCACAGTAAAACTCTCTCTTTGTGTAAAACTCGCATACCAGTGGAGAGATCTTGCCAACAGCTTTGTCATCTTCGATCTGTGCTTGGATGAATAACACGAGTGACGAATATTTGCAATGTACCTGATGGAAGTGGCTGCACAAGAGAATGAGCGTGGTTGTGATGCCCACCAGTGCGGAAGCTCCCCACAGTGTGGGTGTTAAAGGAAGAATCCTACGAAACGGAGACTCGTTGAAAGACTGACGAGAAAGCTTTTGAAAAGTTTACGCTTTGTGTGACTGGCTGAGGTAAAATGCAGTCGTTGCAAATGGCCCGAAAGCAAGAAAGCAGAGAGGCTCGCCCAGTCCCTTGTAGCTCAGTCGAAAGGGAGGACACTAATGCAAGAACAAGGAAAGTGAAAACCAGTTTTTTGTCAATCTCAAGTACCTGATAGATGTATCCGCAAGAGATTGCTGCAGCAAGAAGAGACGCTACTCTTATATCGGATGCGACCAAGGCTGCTCTCAGAAGTCCCGCACAACCAAACGCGAGGCAAGCGACCGACGCTAATAATACTCCTCGCTGACTGTTTCTCGAAAGACCAAGGATCTAATTAGTAAATGATCCTGGAAGTAAGAAGTTACCTTCCAGTGATGTTCACAACTGATTCTTTCTTGTTTTTGTCCACACCAGTGTCGGCATCGAATGCATCATTGCTGAAACAAGCTTAGAACAGACATTGTCTGGCATATAGTACCTTAGATTCAACCACGTGATGACGAGCACTGACGATACGAGTAACAACGAATATTGTCCACCATCAAACGCTCCACTCTCGAGAAATGCAGTAGCCGAGCCTACCTGCAACTAAAAGTTTCAGGCAACAATACAAAAAGCTTGGATAAAATCACTCTGTACCGAGAGAGGTATCAACGCGACTGAATAGATGGGGAGCTTCACTGCTCTCCAGAGAAGCTGCAAATCGCTCAGCTCTTGTATGCTTTCCGTGGGCGGAGATTCCTCCCGACTTTCAGTAAGAAGGCTCAAATTCGCTTCTTGGAAGCAAAATGCTACTCGAGCTTTGCGGGAGGCACTCACATTGGTGACGGGAAAAGCGCGCGAGGAGCATTGGAGTCTTTTTCCGGAGGTCCGCGTGCAATAGAGAGCAAGCTCAATAGCCAATGCCATATCCAAGAATTACCTTCTCAACACCTAAAATGACTTTGACATTAGCGTGGATAAAGTGTGATAATACACAAACAAATTGTAGTTACGCTCTGGTTTTCTTCTTCATTCTTTTGCCAGCTCGGAAAACCGCGAGTATCTCAATGCTGCAGAAAGTTTCAAAAAATGTTATGGCTGTCGATGACAATTTTAAGATGGCATTCACCTGTCAGTGCCGGGAAAGAAGTTGTAAGCATGAGCATTCGCCAAATGCCAATGTCCGTTCTCTTCCAGTGCCTCACAATCCTGTTGAAGAATGTCCTGAACGTCAAGTGAAGAAGAAAGATGCGACTAGAACCTGTTTGAATGAATCCCATCCACAGCTGACATATATCAACTGCTCTGGCCATACATCATCGTCTCGCCAAGTCGTTTCTCCCTCTCTTTGAACACCACCATCTTTCGCTCGCAACATCCACGGTCGTTTCTCAACTCTGAAACAAAATTGCCATCCAGCTAATTCTACTGTCGATAACGAAAAACTTACTTATAGATTTCGTTTCTAGATGGCGATCTTGTTTTGCCTTGCGCTCTCAATGAAGCAGTTCTCAGAGCCTCAATAAGCACGGGCTGCAATCCTTTTCTTGGAGGATCAACAACAACCACATCTGCACCTTCCAACCACGTTATCGGAGCCTGCAATCCCAGAAAACCACCGTCAAAAACATATGAACAAAAGCATAGAAGAGTGAAATCAACCTCTGCTGCATCTGCGCAATGCCAGCTGATTTGGCAGTCGACAGAAGCTGGTAATCTCGAAAGAGAACGTTCAAAAGGCTCTTTGCAGTGCTTATTCACCTCGACGCACTTGACAAATCTACATTGTTGCAAGGTTATTAGACGCTAGCCATCACCGGTAAAATGTGTCCACCTGCACTTTCTAGTGGCTGCCAAGCTCAAGCCAATGACGCCAACACCAGCAAACATGTCCACCACGGCACTTCCTTTTCTCACGTATCTCTGAAGTCTCTGTAGAAGGTCCTCAAAAGACTAAAAATTCAATGTGTCATCAATCCGTTTGTCTACTTTCGGAAACAATGCGCACACCTGATAGTTTGCTTGCCCAAAGCTGGAGGGAGCGTAACATACGTCCGCACCTCCAACACGCTCCCAGAGTTCAGAATGCCCAAACAAACGCCTCCACCTCTGTCCCAAGATTATCTGGTAACTCTCAAAAGTAAGCTACGCATCCTGAATTCCAAGTACTCACGTTAGTTTGCGTTGTTTGAAAGTTTGCCCAAATTGAATGCAAGAGGTCTCTTCGGCTTCCTTGTCCACCCCGTCTCCACAAACTCTGAAAAACACAAGATCAGAAAGAAGGCAAAACGAGAGACGACGATTACGTAGGCCATCTTATGAAGAAGCTCCGTTCCTGGAGAATCCTCATCTCGACTGTTCCAAACCAAGGACACCTGCACTTTGCCTACAAGTATTTAATTAAAGCCTGGAAAACTTGGAAAGGTCTCAGAACGAACATGTGTTCTTCCGCTGCTCAACAGGTACGGAGGTCACGTAGCTGTTAACAACAAGCTGAAAATAACGCGGCATTTGTTTAGTGAAATGAATAGGAGACGTATGTGAGAACCTGGATATAGCGCAGCTGCCCTGTGCACGTCTCGTCATCGTAAGGTTGCACACCAACGTCTCGTATAACTGCAACGCAAGTGATTGTGGTAATTTTCCTTCATAACCAAAACGCACCTGCTTTGATAAGCTCAACCGCTGCGTTTATAGAAGGATGGTGGGCTGCTCAATACACACCATTTGCAAGAGTGGAAATTCAGTTCGAAGATGAATGCTTACCGCGGCATTCAGGAATATCGACAATACTGTGGCTGTGCTCCTCAAAAAGTCCAACAAATGGGTCATCAGACGTTCCACGAACTGCTAACTTAGCTCTACATCTCCATCCGTGCTGGTAGAGCGTTAAAAAACAGTCAAGTAGCCCTTTTTCAAGATGCAACATACCGTAGCACTGGGTATAAGCTGAAGCTTTGCAATTCGTCGTTTCTGGAAGAACGTGACAGCTTCGTTGTAAACAGGCGGATTGTTGAGTCCGTTTTCAAACGCACAACCGGAACACCTTAAAAGGAGAAAAGAAACTCAACTTGAAAACAATGTGTAGCTACCGTACCTTGAAAAATGCTGACAATTTAGCTTGCTAGACGTTTTTACTTCTTCCTCTTCCTGCGGAAACTCCAAACCCAGTTGAACACCATCACTACTTGGTGCTTCCTCGTTCTGGTTTCCATCTTCTTCTCGACCTTCGCTCCGCTGGTCTGTTGTCATGCTCCTGTCTGATAAGTATCTTTCCTTGCTTACTCTCCGCCCGGGAGTCCACGTCCTGTGAAGCTTGAGTTTGCCTGCGGCTTTTCTACTAGTCAGTGGTCTGGAAACCTCCACAGACTTCTTCCCTGAAGCAGCAACTACAAACCCAATCCTCCATTTTGACGAAGAAACCAAGCTTCCATAGCAGGCGCAGCAATCCCCCATGAGAGTCACTAGGGCTGCAACCAGATTTGTTTTTGAGAACTATAAGCTAAGAACAAAGAAACCAATCTTACTTAGTGCTCCTGCTCCACGTAAGAATGTGGATCTGACGAAGTCGAAGGCTGGCGATTATGTTGTTGTGGTTGCTGCTGCTGCTGTAGCCTAGCGTTGCTTTCTACGATCATCCTCGCGATCTGGAGCTGAGTTTCATTCCTCTTCAACTCCAGCTCCCTCATCACTTCCAGCCTCTTCAGTTCCATCCTTTCAAGAGCTTCAGTCACGATGCGAGCAATCTCTTTGGCATGACGCAACGGATTAGAACCGCAGGCGCTACCCTTTTTCCGCTTCTTGCACGCTTTGCTGCTATTCCTGGCCTGGCAATCGTCGTCATCATCCTCGTTATCGTCCTGCTGGTCGGACAAAAGTTGGCCACCTGATATCTCGTCTTGGACGTGCTGCGCAGCGGCTTGCAACGACGATGATCCAAACCGATGGTCCTGTTTAGAGTTGAGAACTCCACTTCCAACCAAACCTTGCTCGTCAGGTTCTTGGTGATGGTGGAGTAGTGGAAGAGTAGACGGTTGGACTTGAGGAGGATGAGTTTGCGGCTGGTGGTGGTGATTTTGCTGCTGCTGCTGGTGGAAGTGATTTCCAATCGTCCCAGTAACAAGTGCGGCCGCTGCTCCTAGCCTAGGATTTCGACCAACGATCTCCTCCATTTTCTGAAACCACGGCCAATCCGAGATCCCTCCATTCGTCGCCTTTCGGTCTCTCTCAATCTTAAACCTCCTCTTCATCACGTCCAGCTTGTTCTTGCATCTCCGGTAGCTGTAGACGGGCTTGCCTTGCGCGCACACCGAATTGAGCTTGAAGATCACGTCCTGCCATCCCTTGGTGCCAATGCTTCCCCCATTGAGCTCGATGTACTTGTCGTTGTAGCAATCCAGCAGCGTGCTGACCGCTACATCGCTCCACTCATCCGCCGGCGGCATCGAGGAGGCCAGCATTTCCTTGCCGCTGCTGCGCATTCCCATAAACCCTAGGATTTCCGAGCCGCGCTCCGCGAGGAGATCGGCGCCCTGCCTTGGCGTTACCTGAGAAAGAAGACCAGGAATGTGGAGATCAGGGGAGATCGTCGCGAGAAAGCGAAAGATCGCGATTCAATCATCCGTAGCGCGCTCCTCGCCATAGCTACTCCTCGCTCCCATCATGCAATGTTTTTGACCCTCGACCATATGACATGTATCCAAAGAGGAAGAGAAACACGTGGCATTCTTCCGATTTTCCCCTTGACAAGTCATAACAAACCGGCACTTTTTTACATTGATAAAGATGTTTACACAATATTGTTCTACCAATTTTTTTTTTCTGTACAGAGGCGTGTAGTGAGTGAGCTTGTGTGCTGCGCTGTGAGTAAAAGTGAGTGAGCTGTTACCCAAATCCAATCTCCCAATCCATCCAATTTCGTGTTAGTCTTAATCCACCGCTAAAATAATCAATCGCGTCGCAAAGTAGCCACACTGGATTAGTGGCGCTAGCCCAAACGAAGGAACGATCCATCCATTCGTCGCCTTCAATGGAGAGAAGATAGCCAATCCTCGACGTGCTTTCTCTGCTTGGCTGCAAGCAAAGCCACAAAGAAGAAATTTAGGGTTCTTGGGAGGAGCGAGAGGGCGATCGATTGGCGGCGACATTACCTGCTGCGGCATTGCGATTGCTGCCGCTGGAGATTGTGGTGAGAAGCGCGGCGGCCCAGACGGTGGGAGGAGGAGGATTGCTGGCCGGGGCGGCGGAGGAGATATTTCGGCGCGTGCGCGAGGAGCCGTAGCAGGGCACAAGAACCGCGAAGCTCTCCTCGGAATCGGAGCTAAAATCGGTGGAATGGGGCTCCAGCCAGCCGACGGACCAGTCGGAATCCTCCGATTCGGAGCCCGACATGCAGCATCCATCCGAGTGGACGACCACCAGGTCGAATTCCTCGTCGAGCTGCCTCTCGCGGCACAGCTTCCACGGCCGCCGCGCACTAGCAGCCGATTGCGACGAGGAATTGGAGGAGGCGGAGGAGGAGGACCTGGGCCTCTGGCGTCGCCGCGATTTCCCCGCGCTCGCTCTGCTGCTCCTCCGGAATCGATCGCTCTCTTGCTGCTGGTGCTGCTGCTGGTGTTGCTGATTCTCTAGGGTGTTGCTGTTGCTACCACCGCTGGCGCGCCATAGCCACGGAGGGAGCTGCGATAGCGCCATCGCCATGATGATCTCCCTCTCTCTCTCGCTCTTCTAAGAGGGCGCGCGCGCGCGCTACAAATCCACACAAATTCCCTGGCGAAATCTATGGAAGAATGTGTCTGGGAAGGGAGGGTTTCACGACGAAGGCGAAGAATTTGGACTAACTCCTACTTGAGCAACAGGGCATCTCTACCCACGTGGCGCCGCCGCGGTCGTCCATCGCCGCATCCGACGGCTGCCGTGTGGGGTCGTCTCACTCACACTTCTCCTCCAACTTGTTAGCTAGCACGGATTCCTCTGTGATGCTGATGGCGCTGCCTGGATTGCTCGCGTCCATCCATTCGCGCAAGTGTTTTTAATCTAGCTTTAAAATATTGTTGGGGCGTAGGCTCTCACGCCTTTGTACTGGCTTTGTCTTGTTCCGTGTCAAGAGTCGTACACCAACGTATGATCAATCAATCAAATATGTTCCTTCTTTTTTACAAACCACAAACACAAGTATCTAGCTAGAAAGGTTCCTTATCAATTGGAAACATCCCTGTTTTGAGCTGGTTCCTCGCCATGGGGAGGAGGCTGCTCGATTTCTTCGCGATGAGGTGGTTCCACAGGATGGGCAGAGTGATTTATTTCATTGCTCCCACCTTGATCTTGGGGTGATTCCACGCGAGGAGGGTGCTCTACTGGATAGTCCTGGAGTTGTTCATTCTGCTGGGATCCATTCTGCTGGGGTTGGGATTGATCCGGGTAAACTGGCACTGGGTAACGCATCCCTCCACCACCACCAAGAACTTGCTGCGCAACCTTGTTCCGTGCAACCAAACGCTCTTCCTCCGCCTTGCGGCTGGCCATCTCTCGCAAACTTGATTGCTTCTCCGAGGATTGCCTACGCAGCCCCTCGGCCCTGCCGTGCGCTGCCTCCCTAGCACCGGCGTCGAAAGGATGAGCAATCTTACCTCCAACTTCCTTGGCGCTTGCAAAAGCATGATCAAGCTTCTCTCGGGCTCCAGATGCTAGCGTCACAATGTCTTCTTTGGCATTCGCTCGAGCCTCCCGCCTCATTGCATCCAGTGTCGCTTCAGATGCCGCCATAGAATCAACCGATCAATCAGAGATCAAAGAGAACCAATCTATGAAAGAGATCAAAGATATCCACAGCGGGCTATACAGAGCTTTCTTGTTTGCCCGAAGATCATCCAGCTCCATTTTAAAGATCTAGCAAAGCGCCACCTAAGGTAGCCAGGTGTCACCATAGAGTTAATGGGCCATGGTCACAATATCGTGAACTAGGATGTACGGAGAGGACTTGGATGGGACCAGCTTAGTTGCTTCTTGGGCTGCCCATTTCCCTCTGGCAGCGTCTGGATGAATCCGGCACGCGCTTAACATACTTATCCAAGCAACTTGGCTTGGTGTTACAGGCATTGTGTGTATAAGCTCTTCTGCTTCGCTCAGCCATCCTAAACGCCCAAGAACATCCACAATGCATCCATAGTGCTCCTCTCGACCAACACTCCTTCCGTCCAGCTCTTGAAGCATCCACACGAAGTATAACCTTGCTTGGTCGACCAGACCGACATGGCTGCACAGAGTGAGGATGACTGTGAAGCTGATGCTATCTGGTTGGATCCCATCCAAGTGCATTTCGTTCCACAGCTCCATGGCTTTGCTCGCACCGTTTTTGTGCCGGGAGGCTGCGAATCCCAGCTGAGCGTGAGCCGTGATCATCGCATTCCAAGACACCACGTCCCTGTACTGCATGTTATGGAAAAACTCCTCGGCAACTTGGAGCTTACCGCACTTCACGTACAAGTTGAGCACGGCATTCTCCACTGGCCGGTCTCTCTCCAGCCCGCTGGAAACAATCCTTCGGTGGATCATCTCGCCCTTCTCGAGCGTCTGCAAGTTTGCACACGCCGTGATGCTGCTCGCGAACACGAATGCATCGGCTCGAACTCTGCCTTCGCGTTGCATGTCGAGGTAGAAACTCAGAGCTCTTGGGTCCTGGCCGTCTCGAACGAGTGCTGCGATCATGATATTCCATGTCACAACATTTCTTCGACCGGCCACCTTGTCAAACACCCTCTCGGCCTCCTCCAGATCGCCGAAACTCGCATACATCTCCAACAGAGCGTTGGTCACCTCGATAGAAGCCGAGAGCTCCCGATCCAGAACTACGTGACTGTGTAATCTTCTGCCGGTCCGTTCATCGCCGGTTGCCGAACAGGCAGCCAGAACGCTTGCCAGGCAAATCTCATCAGCTCGGACTCCTTCCAGGTTCATCTTTGTATACAGCTCCAATGCATCGTGACCGCAGCCATGACGAACGTAGGCATCGATCATCGCTGTCCAGGCCACCAGATCCTTTCTATGATCCACCATCTTGTCAAAAACTTCCACTGCCTCGTCCAAACTCCCACAGTTCGCATACATCTCAACCAAGGCAGTCGATGCGACGCTTGAGGATCCTCCTCCACCGTGCTCGATCCGTGCATGGAGTGCTCTTCCCACTGATAGCTTCTTGAGAAGCGAGCAGGCCGCGAGAACACTCGTCAGTGTCGAGATCTCAACCGGCTTCACCCCTTCCAGATCCATTTCCCAGAATGCTGTGAGTGCCTCCACTGGAAAGCAGTGCTGGGAACAGGCCGAGATAAATCCGTTCCAGTCCTTCTCTGTGTCTGGTGAATCCATGAAAACTCTCTTGGCATCTTCCACACTTCCACACCTCGCATACATGTTGACGAGAGCATTCTGGACGACAACACTTCCTTCCGGTTCCGGCCTGATCGTCAGAACCCGTTCGTGGACTGATCTGCCTTGTTGCAAGTCGGAGGAGGAGACCGCGGCACTAGAGAGCGTGAACATGTCGGGCTCCAAGCCTTCCACTTCCATCTCCCTGTACAGATTTAACGCTTCCTCGTTACAGCCAAGCCCGGCATTTGCAGCTATCATAATGTTCCAGGCAACCACGTCCTTGTCCTTGATTTTCCGGAACTTCCTCCATGCCTCTCCCAAGTTGCCACACTTGGCATACATGTTGATCAGCGCGTTCTGTAAAGCAGCACCGCCGGAGGCCTCAAATCCCAGGCTGGTGGTTCTCTCATCGATCGCCTTCCCCTGCTCGATGAGCGCGAGACTCGAGCACGCTGCTAGTCCGGCTCCGAAAGTGAAAACGTCCGGCTCCATGCCTTCCAAGTCGATCGTCCAGAAAATCTCGAGAGCTTGCCTGTCATGTCCATGCTGGGCATTTGCCGCAATCATCGTGTTCCAGGAGACGATGTTTGGCTGGGACATCTCCCGGAACAAACGAGCAGCGTCCTCCAAGCTGCCACTTTTCGTGTACATGTTTAGCAGCGAGTTCTGCAAGACAAGGTGAGTGCTTAGTCCGATGTCAACAAGCCGCTTGTGGAGACGCTTACCCAGCTCTAAGCATCCCAGTATGGAGCAAGCTCCCAGCACGCTGGAGAAGACGAAGCTATCGGCCCCGACTCCTTCCAGTTCCATCTTCCAAAACACTCGAAGAGCTTCTCTCCCATTTCCGTTGTCGACGTAAGCTGCGATGAGAAGCGTCCAGCTGAAAACGTTCGGCCGAGGAATCCTGTCAAAGGCAGCCCGAGCATCCTCCAAGCACCCCCATCTTCCATACATCTGAACGATAAGATTTCCCAGGAATGTCTCTCGGTCCCGCCCAGTCCCGGACAGCTGAGAGTGAAGCCGCCTCCCATCTTCCACAGACCTTGAGATTCCATACTGCCGTAAAAGAGCTGCAAACTCTGTCGAATCGACATCGTCAACTTCTCTGAAAGACCATGGCCGTGTTGAAACTTTCGTCGTCGCGGGAGGAGAGACGATCATCCTTTTGATGACGATAGATAGATTATTACCATCACCCAGCCATCAACAAGCCGGCGTTTTTTCTTTCCTTGAGCTTGCAAGATCCTAGGAAACTTTGTGGCGCATTTCCTGGATCATCTTGTCGCTTGACTGCTTGGCGAACAGGCGCTGCTTGAATCGGACGTAAGGATAAGTTGCCAGCGACAAAAAATGCGCCGGCTTTGAGAAGGAGAAGATCTCGTACCAGATGCTGTCATCTTCCTTGTTCCATTCCACAGAAAATCGCTCTTCACCAGCCTATAAACCACTCGATCGATTGATCATCCATTGTTGCAAAAGGAAAGAAGAAAAGAAGAGTTTTTTTTGCTGACTTACCAGGAGATGGCCCTGCAAGGTCCCACTTCCAAAGGCGTAGACGATTTTGTTGTTCTTCCTGGCTTGCTCTCGATCGTCGCGAATGTAGCGAAGACGTAGTGGATTCACGATCCAGAAAAGCCCTTCCTTGCTACACACATTGAATCCCTGGCCACGCTCGATCGGCGTCTCCCGCGGAACGAATGCCCAGCCCAGCTGAAAATGCCTGCGCAGCCAAGCATTTCTTCACGCCATCGCAAATCACTCCACAGAAAACCTACCGCCAATCTTGGAGCAAATTCTTGGCCCTGATGAACGCCTCCTCTTGGCCGTGGCCGATCTTCACCCTGGAATGGTTGATCGCAAACCCTTGGCGCTCGATCGATTGGAGGCGCTCGTCCGTCCACGCCGCCTCGCTGCAGCAGTCCTCTGCTGTGTAGTTGAAATCTAAATCCCTAAAGAACAAGGAACACGATAAGGAACATGGATCGATGCCGCAAAATCTTGCCTGTGATCCTTGGCCTGCGATGGCGGCTTGCTCCATCCCCAGCCCAGGAGCACCATATCTAAAACTAGGGCAAGAGAGGGATTGCATTGCATTCAAAGAAATTTTGTTTGCCCGCATAGCTCCATGGCTTTGAGAGAAGCGGACGGTCCTATGAATGGTGTTCGGGGGAGAAGATTTTCTCTACATGGGAGAGCAAAACTAAAACCAAACGAAGGCTTTTCCCTTGCCCGACGCTCCGATCGATGCCGGGATCGATCAATGTGTGTGAAACTCCTAGGCCTACTTCCTCTTGATCTTCTTCTTCTTGTTAGCGCTGCCACTGCCGCCGCCGCCGCTCTTCTTGTTCTTGTTCTTCAGCATGAGCACCGAGTCCTGGAACTTGGAGGGCAAAAGGGTCGCCCTCTTGCGCTTGGGCCGGCCAATTCGCTCCTCCTCGTCGCTACTGCTGCCGCCGATCGAAGAGGGCTTGCTCGGAAAACCATCGCTGGGCCGGGAAGGAGACGATACTGGCCCCCGCCTCCTCTGGAAGATCGAAAATCCCAGGCTCTGGACGAAGACCCTTCTCCCGGGGGGACGACAGGCGCTGGCCGCGGAGTCGTGGATTTGTGACTGGATGACAGCGCAATGAGCCAGCACGTCCAGAGCGAGCAAGCTCTCCACGGCAATTGCTTCCGCGGTGACGCTGGAATCGGCTTGATCCTCGTGCTCCTCATGCTCGATCAGCGGCGTCGGATCTGTGGATTTCTTCGACCAATTCTCCCCCGACTGCGTAGCGCTGCCGCTGAAATATCCCCCGGCGTGCCCGATGGAAGGCGATGGAGCAGCATTATGGCTTGATGCCGTTCTCCTCTTGTTCTTGCCGATGCTGCACACTCCAGGATCGGGGAGGCGCTGGTGAGCCACCGATCCATTCCACGCTACCTCGGCGCCTGCCTGGGGCTTCATCGTCCTGTGCCGAGCGACGGCGATGCTGCCTCGCAATGGCCCTTGCTGGATCATGACCTCGTTCCAAGACGGCGAGGGGCAAGAGCTTCGAAATCTCTTGTGCTGCATTGAATTGGCTCTGCGGTGGAGAGATGGAGCTCCTGGTTGCTCGCTTCTGCCCGAAATCCTCAATCTAGTCTAGAAGGAAGCGCTGCGCTAGAGACTCCTAAAACAAGACGATCGCTCGGCTCTGGGGAATTGCATGGCGAGGATCTTGGACGCCGGCGAGGTGAAGAGAGGAGAGAGGAGGAAGAAGATCCATGGCGGTTGCCCTGCTTGCCCTGGACAAAGGAGAAATGGAAGGAAGAGAATCGGGTAGAACGCCTCGCCTCGCCTTGTGCACAAAGTGTTTGTTGGGACAGGGTTCGAACCCTGGCCTTCTTGGATTGCCACGCGGCAGTCGCCAAGTGGCCCTTGGGCTTAATGCGGCTGTGGCCGGATGGGCCAAGGGAAAATGGGGGCGTCAAAGAGAAGGCATACAACAAACACATCGGCAGCAAATATTACTCTATCCCCGGGGTAGAAGATCCATCCGCGGCGAGGAAATAGGGCTTGCGCGATCGATCCATGGCTGCGCGGAGGCGATGAAGATTACAGGTATGCCGCGGTTGCTGCCGTCTTGCCAGCATTGTGTACTCGATCGCTGCGCCGCGAATGCGGTGAAATGCCGCGCGGTGTCCGAGGCGGAGGAGGAGGAGGAAGAGGAGGAGGAGGAAGGACGAGAGGAGGATCAAAGAGAGGAATCCAAATGAGAGCTGGGCAATCGGGATCAGCATAGCAGGCCAGATTCCTAGTTAGTGTGTTCGTGTGATTAGGGCGACGGCCGTAGCTAATGGGGACAGGGCAGGGTAGCGATGCCGGCTTCGGGACAGATTACTTGACGAGGCAGCTCATCGCTCCGGCTGCTCCATCCGGATGCGCAACATTTCATCATCAATCCGTGAACAGGAATGGGTTTCGCGATCTCGATCGAGATGTTGGAGGCGGTGTCGAGCAGCAGCAGCAGCAGCAGGCTATCAGGTTGGCATCGTTCTGGCGACCTCCAGCGGCAATCAAGCCCAATCCCATACACAATCCCAGCCCCATCAAGCAGCCCACATTGGCAGCAGCGCAATTCCAAGCGCCCGGCAGCTGCGACGACAAGAAGCCATTGATGCAGCTGGGCAAGAGTCGCAATGGGATCAAGCGAGTGCACGCCTCGTGCATCAATCACGGCCAAGCTGATCGATGCATTGGCGAGAGGATTGCTTTGCCTGTTACTCCGCCACCGCCACCACCTCCCCCAGCGGCTTCTTCTCTCGATTCCAAGCCTCCAGTCGGACTACTACACGTTGGTGGGTTTCATCGAGGGTGGAACAGTAGTGATGTTACGAGCACCCACATAAAGGTGGAGGCCGATCCTTTAGCATCCAGCAAGAATTTGGGTGGGAAGAAGGATGCTGGACCGAGTCTTCCAGTTCCAGGCAAACTCTCTCTCAAGCGCTGCAAGCCCACCACTTCAGACGAAGTTTCAAAAAGACTGAAGAAGCCGAAGGTTGAAGCTTTTGGGCAGGACAAGCTCGAGTTCAAGAGAAGCTTGGCGCTTGTGATCAAAGCTCTCAACGCTCTATCTTGTTCTTCATTTGACGAGGACGACGAGGGTGTCTTTGCAAAGACCCAGGTGCATGACTTGGTACCACCAGAGGAGAGCTCCATCCAACATGGTAGCTGCCGAACCAGACGCTCTGTCGATGCAGGTACGCCATCGCATTGCGGCAATTTGATCTGACGAGTGCATATCGTGACGCAGATTGTTCAGAAAGTAGCAACATCTCGTTCTCGAATGAAACCACTGGCCATCCGAGCAAGGACGAGGAGGTCGCTCCCCTTATACGCTCCAAACGGGGAAGGTCGCAGGCCTTGCCGACGAGATTACGTGACTCGGTGCTTGCTCCGTTGAAGAAACGTTCCACTCGAGGCTCCAAGCGCGAGATTGAAGAAAAAGCTCGTCCTGCTGAAGAAGCCCAACAAGCTGGGAGAAAGCACGATGCAAACTCTGTTACATCCAGGAGTGATGGCATCCATGAATCCCCGACATTGACATCAGTTGAAGTGCTGAGAAGAAAGGCGGAAGTGCGGTTTTCTCCCGCCGAAGTGGAGGTTACCTCTGTCATATCGTCGCAAAAGCTTTCCACGGTCACGGATGCGGAAACAATCTCAGAGTGCGATGGAAAAGCCGCTTTCATCACCTGTGGCTCACACTCCCTTGAAGAGTTTGACATTGGAGACATTGTTTGGGCGAAATCTGGGAAGAAGAAGGACCCTGTTTGGCCAGCAAAGGTAGTTGATCCTATCAAGGAGGTACCGGAGTCCGTTCGAAGGAAATGCGTCCCAAATCGGCTCTGCGTTATGTTCTACGGCGAATCTTTAGCGAGAGGAGTGAAACGACGGGTAAGCTGTTTCTACTTATTACTTGTTTGTACTAACTTCGATGCTTTAGGACTATGCATGGGTAAGAAAGGGCATGATATTTCCCTTCGTGGATTATTTGGAAAGGTAAGAATGTGAGTCCACAATTTAGATGTGACGGACTTGTTTCTCAGGTTCCAGAGCCAAACATCATTTAACAAGAGTCAGCCCGGTGATTTTTGGTCTGCCATTGAAGAAGCAACTCTGGCCGAAGCTGGTTTCGAAGAATGTGAAGATGTTTGCAAAAAACCCTCTCACAGCGAAGATGAGAGCAAATGCGAAGATGCTAAGCAAAGGGTATGCAAACTTCTGAAAGTAAACATGCATAGCTCTAACGGAACATTGTGCAGATAAATATTTGTGTCGGTTGTGGAGCTGCTTTGTTCGGAAGGATAAAATTGAACCCGGTCCCTGAAGAGCTATTGTGCAGACATTGTAAAAAGGTCTGTGTATTTATCTTTGTCTTGACTTTCTTGGTCTTGACTTCTCGACGTCAGCTTTACAAATCAAGGCAGTACTGTGGAATTTGCAAGAAGGTTTGGCATCCAAATGACAAAGGCGACTGGGTAAAGCGTTCTTCTTTTCTTTTTTCTTTTCTTTCTTTTTTCTAGTTTGCTGAATGCGAAACTTTTGTAGGCTGCATGCGACAATTGTGAAATCTGGGTACATGCTGAATGTGACAATATCAGCAGCAAGCAGCTGAAGGTTGTATTGAAACTCTCTTGACTGTCACATTAAAATTTCTAACAGTAACTAAACAAACAGGAGCTGAAACGCTGTACTTACTACTGTCCCGACTGCAGAAACACGCAGAACATTTCGAAGAAGCGAGGGGCCGAGTAAGCTATACTCATCTGCATATCTCTTACATATTTAACTTGTACCCTGTAGCTCAAACGGGAACAATGGCTCAACATACGTTCTTCCACGCAAGCTACTTGTGACATGTTCAGGGTGCGAAGCAGAATATTTGCCAAAGCATCACCGGTAAGCTATTGTCTTCCTCTTCCTGTCTTCCACTGACTGGACGATAACATTTTACAGAATCCTTTGCAAGTGCGAACGATGTGGTGACGGAAAGCATATGCTACCTTCAGAATGGGAACAACACACTGGATCTAAGAAGAGAAGGTGGAAGGAGACTATCGTGGTCAAAAATCTGAACCAGACTCTTCTCTCCTGGGTATGTCCCGTGCATATGTTTTGCATCGAACTAATCCTGCTCATCCTGTAGCTACGACTTATGCTGGAGGGCGGCGCTATCGGCCTTGCTTACGATGGTCCTGAACTTTGCACGCCAAACAGCTATCGTGTGAAGGAACTTTTGACATGTTTGGAAGGTAAGAACTTATTTTGGCAAATAAACAGAATGACCAAGCATTAGTTTTAGCGGCATACAAACCGGTTGTTCCTATCTGGACACCTGAAAGGTGTGCTGTTTGCCGATGGATTGAAGACTACGATGTGAACAAGATTATTATTTGCAACAGGTATTTATTTTCTGCTTAAAGATAAACTTGAGCCAGTCGCTATGTAGGTGCCAATTGGCTGTTCATGAAGAGTGCTATGGGGTCAAAGCTTCAGAAATAAGTGGTTCATGGGTTTGTCGAGGTTGCGAGACGCCTGATGCTGTGCGCGATTGCTGCCTTTGTCCCGTGAAAGGTAATCCGTCTTCCTGTTAAGTTTGTGTAAGATGCATCACTTGCTTATTACAGGTGGAGCACTCAAGCCTACCACTATCAAAGGTCTTTGGGTGCATATTACGTGTGCTTGGTTTATTCATGAGGTGACGTTCAAGGATGAAGTAGCAATGGAGCCAGCCGCAGGCATTACCCGAATCGATCTAATGCGTTTCCGCGAGGTTTGTGCCGAAAGCCCTTACTTCCACCTTTGTCCTAATTTTTACTTCTTTCTCGGTGAAGGCCTGTGCAGTTTGCAAGCAAATTCATGGGGTCTGTATACAGTGCAACAAATGTAAAACCCTGTATCATCCAATGTGTGCTTTGAGAGCCGGATATCACATGGAGGTAAGCTCTTCAGCTTTCAGTTCTATCCTATACACGATGATGTTTCAGGTTCAAATTTCCTATAAGAAAAATGGTTCTTTTGAGACAAGAATGATAACTTATTGCGCCACGCACAAGTATTGTCTTGTTATTTATTTCTGTTCAGAGCTAAAAGAAATGTTGCAGGGCGCCAAAGCCAGATTCATACATACAATATACTACAGACAAGGGTGTTTCACTGGGAAAGAAAGAACGGTTCAGTAATGGTCAATCTTCCAAATCTTCGAGTACATTCAACTCCTTTCCTAAGAAGCTGTGCGATGATCTAGAAAAAGAGTTTCAAAATTTTCGGCGATCTAAAAACCCAGCTGCAAGGTGTCAAGTTTATGGTCAGAACATGTATTACAAGGTGCTTTTGTTTGGCTTTGTATTTCAGTTTATGAATTTTTCGTGCGTTTCTTGCAGAGAAGCAACAGAAGTCCGATAGCTTACAGGGTGATGGGATACAGTCATCACTCTACGGAAAGCATAGATGCCCTTCGGGTACGAAGTTCATGTATGATTCGTGCTAATTGTTGTTCATGGCAGGATTTTCCGGAACTCGAACATGAGGACCTTGTTGATATGAAGACGAGGTTGTCGTTTTTGGAGGCAAGTGGCATTACATGATTGTTATCATCATTTTCTTTGTTCTGTTTCTCTTGTCCAGAAAACTGAAAAGTCTCGAGTCTGCTTCGGGAAGTCGGGTATTCACGGTTGGGGATTGTTTGCGCGCAGGACCATCGAAGAGGGAGAAATCGTAAGATAACGTTGTTTCTCCTAGGTGCTTGGAGTCTAATTTCCTTGACGCAGGTTGTTGAGTACCGAGGCGAGCAAGTGAGAAGAAGTGTCGCCGATTTGAGAGAAAAGCGATACCGTGACCAAGGAAAAGATTGCTACGTAAGGATTATCATTTTTCTTACCATGTTGGTAACGTATCAAACCGTCTTGCAGTTGTTCAAGATAAGTGAGGAGATTGTAATCGATGCCACTGAGAAAGGGAACATAGGTCGGCTCATCAACCACTCGGTGTGTTGATTTTAAAAACATCCTGCTTCTTTATGCTGATTTTTAGATATGGTTTCTTTGCAGTGCTCACCCAGTTGCTATGCACGAATTTTATGCGTTGATGGTGAGGAAAGCCGCATCGTTCTCATTGCGAAGCGAAATGTGGCTGCGGGCGAGGAGCTTACGTAAGTTGCATATCGTTTGTTCATGGTTTAGTCATTTGTTGCTTTCCTTTATCGTTACAGATACGACTATCAGTTTGAGGAGGAAGACAAGAAGGTTCCTTGCTTGTGCGGATCCGACTCGTGCCGGCAATACATGAACTAGCGGCACAACTTGATTTTTACATAAACGAGAGGAGGATCAAGGCAGCGCTGTACATTATCCCCGGAGGTGAGAACATATATATATAGATATATACACTAAACTGGAAACTGGAAGCAAGAGAGCAGTCCTTTTAGAACGCAAAGAAGATCCAACCCATCCCCCAGCCGAGCATGAATCCAGCACCAGCAAGCCCCAGGCCCAACGCAAACGCCACAGTGCAGCGCAGCAGCAGCTCTTCCGGACGAGTAGCACCACCACCTCGTTCCAGCTTCGTCTTCTTGTGGTAGTGGTGGTGCTGGTGGTGATTCCATCGCTTGGAAGAAGTCTGGAGCTGCGGGCAGTGGTGGTGAAAGTGGTGGCCGAGTGACTTTGAAGGAAAAGCAGCGTGACACATCCGAAGGCACAGATTCTCGGCTTGCAGCGATACGAGCCACTGCCTGTAGGCCAGCGACATGGATGCCTCGCGGAAGAACAGATGCATCAGCTCGTCCTTCTCTCGAAACGCACGCACCGCCAGCTTCTCCGCTTCTCGTGCCCGTGTCTGGGAGCGGCACAGCGCCTCGCCAAGCAAATCATGCGCTCGGGGCCCGGTCGAAGATCGAGGACTGTTACTACTGCTGCAAGACCTGCCAAGACAAAAAGAAAAACAATTGATAACGCTCAAAACAAAAGGAAAGATTTCCAACTTACGTTGGTTTGATGCTACTGTGCGCTTCCGGAGACGGCGGGGGAAGATCGCAGTTGGCGATGTTGCCAGATCTTTGCGAGACGATGGCCGCGAGTTCATGGCTTCCGGCGGTTCGCCAAGACACTGGTAGTGACGACGACGAGGTTGTCACGGTTGTGGAGTCGAGGGAGGATTTTAGATGAGCGGTTTCTTCGCCGGATTCAACTCGGTGCTGGCCAAAGTAGCTCCCCTTTGTGACGTAGATCCGCTGCCTGTGCCGCTCCTGATCGATGAGCTCTGCGTACTGCGAGTGATCCGGCCACAGGAGGAACTCATCCTCCTCTTTCATCAAACTCTGGAGTTTTTGCTGCTGCCGCGTGGAAGGCTTGCTTGACTTGTGCTTGGTCGTGGCCCACTGCCAATCGGCAGCCATGGCGGAGTCAAGGCATCCAGATCTCGCAAAGCCCCTGCAGCATTCCATTTCACCATCTCTATCTAGATCGAAAGAGGAGAAGAAACTCACTTTTGATCGATTGAGAAAGGAGGAATGCGTTGGTTGGATTCCCTTACGTGTAGAAGAACGCTTGCTGCTGATCTCTCATAGCGCTGCCGCCGCGATCAGCCCTGGGCTGATCGAGGGATCGCGATCGCCCTAATCTCCGTCCGCGTCACATTGGCGCCAAACCTGGCCTGTAATCCTCGGTCATCCGCCACGCAACGCCGCGATCTCCTCTCCTCTTCCACGGGCGCGCGAGGATGCTGTGGGGCGGCACGAGATCGCTGCTCCAAATTACCGTTCCGTGCAAGCATGCGCTCGACACGTCACGAGACTAGAGAAATAAAGGACAAAACAGGTAAAGGTAAAATATTCCTCGATTTTTTGGAGGATCGTAGAATATTCTGGTCAACCCAGTTCGAGAAGATTTTAGAGTTTATCTTTATGGCCGTTGATGAGCGCTTTCACTGTATCGAGACCAAAAGGATTTCCTTCTTCGATCACTTTGAGCACGGTGCCTCCACCTGTGAAGAGATAATACTTGGGACTGTCCAGTGCCTCGTGATACAAGCCAGGATGCAAGCTGCCAGCACAAAAAAATCGATCAATCCCCATCCAAAGGAGCAAAGATTTAGGAAGAACTCACCTCTTAAACACCTGGAGCGTGTCACCTCCTCCAAACAGCTTCTGAGCTCCAGTGTTACGGTCGATGACTTCATCCATCTTGCTGGTGCCGTGCCAAAAGTGGGGCATCAGGCCCATCACCGCATTCACGAATATGGCTTTGGCGGACGACAGTGACTCCCTCACCTCACCCGACTCGAATGACGCCGGATCGACGTCCACTATGTACTTATATTCCTTTCCTGCTTGAAACTCCTGTTAAGCCATCTAGAAAAGCTTAGAGGCAAGCAAGCGAAAACAAACCATAAACATCACAAACCTCGATGGATATAGTGCGGAACTTGTTCTTGTACCGGCCATCAAGCGTGTCTGACTCGACCAGGAGAGGCAAGTCCAACACTTTCTTTTGTTTCTTGTCAAGCTCCACAAGGCCCCTGGCCAGATCAATATCAGACTCCTGTAGAAATCAATCCATTGAGTTAATGGACAAGAGCATGGAACGGCACAATTGCGCACACCTGAACTCCGGCAATCGAGATGTCATACTTGGCACATAGATACGTGTTGTAAATCACTCCCCCCAAAATCAGCTTGTCAACCTTCTTGTAGATTTCGGTGAGCGGGCCTATCTTGGTGTCGTACTTGGCACCAGCAACGATCGCTACAAATGGTCGCTTTGGTTCGAGAACAGCCTTCACGTTGCTCAGTTCATCCTAAGGAGCCCAGAGATAAGAACAAATCAACTCCGTGTTTGCATGACAAAAGTTACTTGCCTGCATGCACAGTCCCGCAAAAGATGGAAGGTACTTGGCAATGTGATACGTTGACGCATGAGATTGCCATGACCCAAAAGCATCATTCACATACACATCCGCAAGTCCAGCTAGTTGAACAACGAACCTCTCCATTTTCTCTCCCTTGTCTTCCTCTCCCTGTTGTGAATAGCTCGAGAAAAATATGGAAAAATTGAAAGCTCGTTCCTTACCGCAAACCAGCGTGTGTTGGGAAGATAAACTCCTCCGATTTTCCTCGAGCGGAGGTCGTGGATGAGCCAATTAATGGAGGTGTCAATGTCCAGAATGCCATCCTTGTCACTGTGGTGGAACTCCGGGACAACGAACTTGATTCGGAGCTTCCTCTGAAGGTAAGCCACCACAGCATCCACGGAATCATCCGAGCTGATTGTGATGCTCTTGTTCTTCTTGTCGAATGGACGCCCGATGTGTGTCATGACAATTAACCTGTCATCTATGCCTCAACAACTTCCAAAGGCGGCATTTTTAACACTCACCGGCCACCCCTTTGCACTATGTTGAACATGGTAGGAAGCGTAACATCGATGCGGTACTGATCCAAAATCTTTCCTGCCGCACAAATCGATGTCAGAAAGGAGAGAATTCTCGTAAAAGCCTTACCTTTCTTCACAACATTGTGATCGACACGGAGGAGAACCACCTTGTCCCGCAAATCAGCTTCCTGTAGCAGAGGTAACTTTGGATCCAAAGACGCAGCGTTGCTCCCCCGTTCATCATCCACACTGTAGCCAATTTGCAAAGTTCCATTGTTGTTGCTCTCGGGACCGTAAGGAGCCATGCCTCCCTTTTTACTTTTTCTTCCTTCTCTTCCTCCTCATCGTGCTGCTTGTGAGCTGTATATAAATAGCTGCAGCCAAGTGCCCAAATTTATCATCCAATCCAATAATTCTCACGGGTCTTACTCACTGTTACAGCTCGATAATTGCGGTGACACCACACGCTTACGTGTTTCGCAGTCGCCATTCCATTCCGGTAGCTTTTGTCCTTCCCAAGAATAGAAGAGCTCCCACATTATAAATTGGACCATTTCATTCACACGAGCCGTGTCAAATAAACTTTACAAGAAATACTTCATGCGGCTATCACACCGCATTGCATTGTACACAGCGCGCACCTGCTTCCACAGTGACGAATGAGTGAGTACCCGTCTCAGTTTTAAAGATTGAGCGAACCTGTTCACTCGATTGCACTGCAACGGGCCCGATTTTCACTGATATGTACTTGCCTTGGGATGAGAGCTTGCTGCTAATCTCCTCCTGTAAAATGGGGACGAGTGTAGAAAAGACATAAAACAAAAGCTTCCTATCACGCACCGTAGAGACAGAAATTTGAAGAACAGTTTCCACAGCCAAAACCATTGCTCTGACGAAGTCATCACCACCGGTTCCAATGGCTGTGAATCCACGCTCCATAGGGTACGTATTCACCTTAGACACAAAGAAAAAAGAGTAGCAAACATATATGTTACAGGCATCACTCACCTTACTATCGAGTGCCTGCCATTCATCCACCACGGTTCCTCCCATCACCACATTGGTTGTCCGAGAAACTCTGTTGTCGGCCCTGGAAACCTCTGTAGCTAGAAGTGGCATGGATCAAACAAATCAGGCAGCTCTGCATTACCTGAAATGGCTTTGAGGACAGCGTCCTGGACAGGAACGGCATCGCTCTCGCTGCAAAACATCCGCATCCGCCGGGGCTTGAAAGATCGGCGCCATCGCTCCAGTGTTCCAGGAGGAGTGCCCAGAGCCACGATCGCCATGCCCCTGATAGCCATATATCGCCCTAGAAGAACCCTAATGCCCTCGTCGCGCCAAGTCGGGTTAACGTTAGATTAGGTTTCCCGCCAAAATTTGAAGCCGATCGTTTTCCGTAGTGTATTGGGGTACGGACGAGGGGATGTCGTGTGCGTCTTCGTCTTCCAAGCGAGCTCCTCCGGCGCTTGGCTATGGCAGCAACGAGGCTAGGGCACGCTACGAGGCTTATTCTCGGCTGCAAGCGACGGCGCTAGCCTTTGGAGAGCAGCTGTCTATCCCGGAGATTGTGGCCGTGGGAGGCCAGTCGGATGGTAAGAGCTCGCTCCTGGAAGCACTGCTGGGATTTAGGTTCAATGTCCGCGAGGTGGAGATGGGCACTCGTCGCCCTCTCGTGCTCCAGATGATCCACGAGCCAGCGGCGGTGGATCCGCGATGCCGACTGCAGGTACTGCTAGTAGCAAGTGAAGTCGCTGCCTAGAAATTCCTTACATTCTTTTGCGTTTCAGCACGAGGACGACGAGGAGTATGGGCCTGTCATAGTTCCGCATTATGCTGTGGCTGAGGCAATCAAATTAAGGACCGAAGAACATCTCAAGAAGATCCGCGCGGCAGTCAGCTCCAAGCCAATTGTGATGCGTGTGGAGTATGCGTATTGTCCCAATCTCACCATCATCGATACACCGGGTTTTATACTCAAGGTAGCGCTTCTAACTAGTGTTACTAGTCCTCCGTTTTATACATTTTTCTACTTTTCATATGGCAGGCGAAGAAAGGCGAACCAGAGAGTACACCCGATGATATCCTTCAGATGGTCCGGGCACTGGCATTGCCACCAAACAGGCTGCTGTTGTTCTTACAGCAAAGTAGCGTCGAGTGGTGCTCCTCCTTGTGGCTGGATACAGTTCGCTCCATAGATCCTGGTTTCCATCGCACTGTGGTGGTTGTTTCCAAGTTTGATAACAGGCTGGGGGTAAGTCTCTCTCTTCCTTTTTCTCGTGGCTGATACCCATGTTTCCTTCAGGAGTTTGCGGAGAAGTGGGAAGTTGACCGCTATCTCAGTGCTGGGGGTTATCTAGGTGACCATGTTCGTCCTTTTTTCGTTGCCTTGCCAAAGGACAGGGGATCTGTTACAAACGAGGAGTTTCGTAGTCAAATTGCCAGCGTAGATGCAGAGGTGTTAAAGCATCTCCGCGAAAGGATCAGTGGTGGGTTTAGTGAGGACAAATACAGTGGCAGCATTGGATTTGGAAACCTCCGCAACTATTTGGAAGCTGAACTCCAGCGAAGGTAAGAGGTGAATTATGAGTTCCCGAACTAGCTCCTTTGTGAATCTGCAGGTACCGAGAAGCAGCTCCAGCTACACTCGCTCTGCTCGAGCGAAGATGCAACGAAGTTGCTGCAGAACTTGCGACTGCAGATGCAAAGCTCTCCACTGCAGGTGATATTGCCTCATTGCGAAAATCTGCGATGATACATACGGCGGCTGTAGCAGGTCACATGGTACGTCTCTGGGATCAGCTTTTAAAATGTTTAGTTGTTTGTATGTTTTGTGGACAGGGAGGTTTGCTGCATGGTGCTGCAGACCTGGATCCTCTAGAGTGGGGATTGACAACAGATGAAGAACGGGTACAAAGCGGAGCGAAAAAGTGGCCAGGCCTTACAGCTGACATCCAGCCTCCGAATGCGATTCTAAAACTCTATGGAGGAGCTTCTTTCGAGCGGGTTCTTACCGAATTCAAGTGTGCCGCCTGTTCACTTGAATGTCCTTCTATTTCAAGAGAGACTGTGAGTCTGTTGTGATGTTGACTCCTTGGTTCTTACAAGTTTTCCAGGTTGCAAATGTCTTGCTTGCACATGTGGGACGATCGGGAGGAACATTTGCCGCTGCCGCGTCAATCGCTCGTGCAGCTGCACAATCATGGCTTGGACCACTTCTTGATACTGTTTGTGATCGCCTTGGTCACGTTCTTCGTAATCTTTTTGATCTGGCCGTTGAGCGCATTCGTACTCAAGACTCCACGAATAGTAAGTTGCTAGAGAGAGCTTTCAACAACTTGTTCCTGATTTATCTGTGCTTCTTCATACTGCAGGCGTGACAGGCTATGTGGCCTTCCAGGCAGCTGTGAGACAAGCACACGAGGGTTTCGTCCAGGAGCTGGTGAAAGAATGCAAAGGTTTGGTGCGGCACGAGTTGGCGGCAATCACGAGCCCTTACTCACATCTAAACTTCTGGGAGAATAGCTTTGGCGATGGGATTACTGCGGACATGCACGGTGCAGTGACTGACGCTGTGACAGAAGAATTGGAAAATCAAGCTCCTCAAGGTTCCTCTAAGCCTCAAGCTGCAGCTAGAGTCTCAGACTGCCCGCTGAAAGAAAGTCAACTTACTATACCGGAAACGCCGTCTCCGGAGCAGTCGAGCAGTGACGCCAAGAGGAAGGAGTACGCCATTGCAAGCGGGAGGATTGCCGACGTCACCTTTGCGACAAGGAAACGCCATGGAATGCCTGTGGGAGCTGTCAGCACTCGCATTGGACCGCTGAAAGAGGCCAGGCACAGCCTCAACAAAACTAAATCGGTGTACGACGAGGTGTGTTCCCTGGCCATCGAGCAATTCACGCGGATCAGAGAAGTTCTCGTCGAGCGCAGCGTCCCGGCTGCGTTAAATGCTGGCTTTCTCACGCCATGGTAAGGCCGATCTAGTTACTGTTTCTGCTGCTAACGAGTCTAGAGTGTTGTTGTGGATGCATATAGCCAGGAGCGACTTGCTCTGGCACTGGGGCTGGAGCTCTTTGCAGTGAGCGACGAGCAGTTTATGGACATGTTCGTGGCACCAGGCATGCTGGAGCAGCTGGAAAACGAGCGCGCATCCCTCCAGAAACGCTACAAGACTCTGCGATCGTGCCTCCATGAATTTCGCACGCTAGCTCGTTCTCTTTGACAAGGTAAGACTTTTACAATTTCACGATAGATTTGCTTCCTTATACATTAAATTGGACTAGTAGTAACGAAAACTTACAGGTTCTCTGGAAGAAAACGCTGGATTGATTAACTATCTTACAGTCCTAGTTCAAAAGGTATTTCAAAGTTGATAATTTGACGAGGCGACCTTTCGCCTCTTGTTATTCATCACCCAGGAAATTCAAAACCTCTGGCTTCTAGGTTCAGAATGTCTTGCCAGTCGCGTACAAGGTCTCTAGTCACATCCGACCAGGCCAGGTGTCCGAGCAACGGGATCGACGAAACGTCCAGGCTCTGCAAACAAGCCGCTCCCTAACATTGCAATTGATCATTTCCTTTTATTGAATTCATCAGTGTTGTTGTGGATGCGTGCAGCCAGGAGTGACTTGCACTGGCACTACTGGAGGTTTTTGCAGTAAACGACATGTTTATGGCTCCGGGCATCGAAAACCAGCGCGCATCTCTCGAGGAGACTCTCTCCATGAGATTCGTGCTTCTCTTTGACAAGGTGAGACTACCAATTTTGTAGAGTTTTCATCTTGTACATTCAAGGTTAACAAGCTGGCCAGTGAATTCATCTGTCATTAAAGTGGGGTGATTGATCGTATGCAAAGATTTTTGTTACAAAAACGACGCTACCTCGCAGCTCGTGTGGCATGAAATCTTCTGCTGTCCTGAAGCATTTTTCTGGAGAGTAGCAGCTCAAGTTCGTCACCTGGCTTGTGTAGAGACAAGCAAATCTTTCGACCTGTAACACGAAGAGCTCAAATTCTTATTCCATAGCTTGTAATAACTCGCACCTGATGGGCAAATCGAGAGGTTTGATGCCCAGCTTTCATAAGCTGTCCCCATGTTTTATGAAACTGCAATAAGCAAGGTATAAAAAGCCTACACCTTCTCTTCAAGAAAATCCAAACCTGCTCATGAAATTTGCGTTGCATGGTCCGATGGCTCTTTTGGACTTCATCTCTTTCCCTCTGAAATCAAGTGAGAAACGTTTTTCGTTCGTAAGGCATGTTTTACCTGCAATGCTTCTCGCTTTTCTTGCAAAGGGCTCTCCTCCTCCTTGGTTCCTTTAAAATACCTGTGTTGCCAAAAATCCCAACATTTGTCTGAAAATATAGAGCTTTACAGAACATACTTCAAGGTCCACTCCAACTTCTGTAACTCATCTTCGATCTCCTCACGGCTATGGCGAAGTCTTTGAATTTCCTGGGTGATCGATGAATAACAAGAAGTGAGCTTGCCTGATCAACTTTGATATACCTTTTGAACCGCTCTGGACGACTGTAAGAGCTCAACTTCCCGGTCAAGCTCGGGTACGACGAGCATTGTACGCCAACCTAGGATTTAAGCTTCTAGCAGAGTTATAACGAGAAAGCTTTTGAAGTACCAAGTTGCTTTTTGCTGCGGAGGATGTCGCCATATATATGATCTCCACAATACAACACCTGTAATTAAAAGTTAACTCCCGGGTTAACCAGACACCTGCGAACCTGAGCGCCGGCATCAATCGCAAGCAGCTTGTGTAGGTGTGACACTGTTCCTCCCTGGCGCATTTGATACGAGCTGAATGTGAGCTTCCAGATCCAGACAGTGTGATGAAGTTCTTGCCTGGTATACTTTCGAGGCTTGTCTTGTTGTAGAGAGCGGGATCAGCCCAATCTAAGACAAAGACCCAGTCAAATCCGCTGAAAAGGTATAAAAGGTAGCACCGTACCTGAGGAACTGGTGTGCCATTGTCCGTGTTGTGAAGCATACCTGTCTTAACATCTACAGCAAACAGAGGCGCCTGATTGCCATCCATGAAAAAGGACGGCTTGGCACTGGGGAAAAAAAAAAAACGAAAAATGAAGATATGAACGATGCTAAATGGTCATTGGTAGTGAATCTGCATCTACCTGGCCGTAATGACGAGGTCGAAGTAATCGAGCCAGTTCTTGTCGGCGGAGAAGAGGAAGTTCATCACAACATGCGTATAATCCCACAAACTAAACGTAGAAACAACTTTGGCAGGAAGTCAGCAGAAAGAATTCTTTCACCTGTTGGTGACCAAGAATGTCAAGCGGCCAGACTCGCGCAGCATTTTAAGCATTGAGATTAGCTGCTCATCAGCATATATGTACCTGAGAAAAGGCACTGAGCTTTTTAGCAGCTTGTAGACACATGCTGCTTACTTGGAAGGATCATCAGCGACCGCTTGCTTCAACGTACCATCCCTGTGGCACAAGTCGACCGCGGCACGAACATCTTTGTAGATTTCAGCATATCTGCAAGAAAAGAAATAAAAAAGTGGCGGTCAGCGAAAAAGAAACGTACACAAGAAGAGAAACACGTACGTGGGAACTACAGGAACATCGTTCTCACAATAGACCCTGCACGAAGGAAACAACAAAATTTGCATATAGTTGTCAAGGAAAACAAGTATAGTACTCTGGCTGGGACGGAAAAAGTTCTGGATCAGTGTCTTTGAGCTCAACAAGCTGAGCAAAGAGATACGCCTCTGCCAAGGAGAACAAGGTGTCGATAAGCGCATAATCAGGCTCATCATAAGAGTCACGGGAGAGCGTATTCCCGTAAGTTGCCGTCCTCTCTTCTCTGGACAGCTCCTGGAATCCATGATAAGCAACCTTGACATACTTGTGGCGATCCATCTGTTACTAGGTTTCGTTACAACTTACGATAGGAAGAGCGCTAAACCAACCTTGAGAATGTTTCCACGACGTTTGTCAAGCACCAAGCCTCTCACCATGTACTTCCAATCGAACATCCAGTCCAATATCTGTTCGTGTAGAGCGCGAGTGATACGGAATTTCGTGTAGTAGTAGTATGGAAACTCTTGCCTGGCGGGGGTAGCCGAGATTGTAGACGAGCTTCTTGGCAGTGGCTTGGTAGGCGAGCAGCTCAAAAGTCTCTGGCCTGTACTGCGCAAGCGTGTAGTCGAGATCAAATCCCACCGCCGAGATGCTCCTCATGTTGAGTGCCCGGTTGCAATAGATCATGGTCCTGTGATCAAGGCCAGTAGCCGCACGCGATGGTGGCGGCACAGCCTCGCGATGATGTGCTAACCATCACACCGTCAATCCTGTGAATTCGTGACCGTGAGCGAGGGATTGGCTTACCATTGTGTGAATTGGTGGATGAATCCGCCCATACTGGCGCTGGCGCTGGCGATGGCGATGGCGATGAAGTGGTAGCGGTGGTGTAGAGCTGCACCAATCTAAGATTTCCCTGGCACCACAGAGATCCATGAGGAGGAGGAGGAGGAGGAGAAAGAGCGGGACAAGGATGGCGACGAGGGAGATTGAATGCAGCTAGTCTTCGGAGAGCTTGCACAAATCTTGGCCCCATTCCTCTCGCCGCCTCATCTACAAAAGGATGCCAAGCCACTGCTAGCCTAGGGCTCTGGAATATTCTACTCCCCTCACAAAACTCTATTCGTGGACTCGTGAAGCTCCTCCTCCCATTCTCTGGTAGCAGCTCGCAAGCATCTGGCGGGCAGCGTCCGCAGCGGCCGATTGTGGGGAGGAATCGAGCGCGAGGCATTCTTCCAGATCGGCAATGGCGGCCTTCACCCCTCGCTTGGTCTTGAATGCGTCGAGGCTGATGGACGCGCGCTTGATCAGCGCCTCCACCCTCTCCGACTCCGACAGGCTCTTGGACGCCGGCGGCGACAGCGCCGTGTTGAGCGATCGCAGCGCGGCAGTGAGGTGTCCCAGGTGTTGCAGTGCCAGCGCCTTGACGATGTGAGGCGCGGCGTCCCGCGGATCGCAGGCGATGGCCACATCGCACTCGCGGATGGCATCCCGCGCCAGAGACGAGCTCTTGCCCCTGTTCCTCCTCCCCTCGTCCGGTAGCTCCTTGCGCTGCCGCCGTGCTCGGGCCAGCAGATGGGCCGCCGCCATGAAATGCTGGCGACAATCTGCCCGCTGCTGCGACTTGCGCCTCCACCACCCCGATCTGCCACCGCCCAGCATGCCATTCCAACGTGCCAGCCCCCACACGAGCGCCATGGCCAGCGCGAAGCACGCCATCCACGCATCCACCCGCTCCATTTTAGGGTTCTTCAGCTAGGTCTTAACGAATGGAGGAAGCCACGGAGCTTGTCCACATTGTCAAGGGCGTGGCGGCCCCGGTGGTGATCCGCGAGCAGCGCTCCAGAGGCCTATCGTTCCAGGTGTGGCCAGCGGCATCGGCATTGTGCAGCTTCCTCGAGGAGAAGCAAACAGAGTGGATGGTTCCGGGCGCGAGCGTGCTCGAGCTGGGATCGGGCCCAGGCTTGGTAGGCCTTGTGGCTGCACGGCTGGGCGCCGCCAGGGTGCTACTCACGGATCTTCCACAGGCCATTCCAAATCTCGCATACAACGCCCAGCGAAACTTCCCTGGCGATGGTGGCGCGGTGATTGAGGCACGGACGCTGCGCTGGGGCGTGGAGGAGGACGTGGCGCAGCTTGCTCAGGACTGGAGCTTCGACTTGATCGTGGCCTCGGATGTTGTCTACTACGACTATCTCTTCCAGCCTCTGCTGCAAACGCTCAAATGGCTCCTGTCGTCGTCGCCGCCGCAGGAGCGCCCCCCCAAAGTCTTGCTCGCGCACATCCGGAGGTGGACGAAAGACACCAAGTTCTTCAAGATGGCGCGCAAGTCATTCCAGGTGGAGGTTGTAGCCACGTATCCCCCGCCACCCGGGAACAAGAAGCCAGTCGTCATTTACTCCCTCGCTGCCCGATGAATGAATCAATCAATCCAATCTTTTGCGGAAATGCGAGACGAGGAGGTCGGCCAGATCCGTGAAGCTGTTGAATCGGTGGCCAACCACATCAACGTCGACTCCCAGCCGCTTGGCACCCCGGGCGGTGACAGGGCCGAAGGCCACCAGCACGCACGGCCAGAGCGAAGCGATCGTGAGGTGGTGAGCGTGGAGCGCCATGAGCAGCCCCTCCACCTCGGCGGTGCTGGTGAAGACGAGCGCATCAACTGCGCCGGCGAGCAGCGGCGTGACGCTGGCGGAGCCGGTCCACGAGGTAGCGTAGGCGTCCAGCCGCTCGACGTCCCAGCCGTGGCGCTGGAGCGCCGCCACGAAGTTTGGGACCACGTCCGGCTCGGATAGCCCGCCGCAGGCGTAGGGAACCGGGCAAAGCAGCCGGCGTCCAGCGCCATCGCCCAGCTCCTCCACCAGTGCGTCGGGTGTCGCCACCCGGGGCACCACCACCGTCAACCTCTGCTGCTCGCGGTGCTCCTTGAACAAGTCCAGCTCCTGGATGAGCTCGGCGTCCTTGCCCAGCGCCCCCACCACCAGTTCCGCGCAGCCAGATAATCGCACTTCTCCAAGAGCGTGCGCGATGGATGCGATGCCGGACCTGGACGTGAAGGCGATGCAGCTATAGGTGTGGAGGGCAGAGACGGCGCGGCGGACACTGGATTGGGTGTGTGGCGTGCGCTCCACGGCTATGGTGGGGCACGAGACTGTGGCGGCTCCCTCCCTGTCTAGTGCTTGCTCCAGGCGGGGCGCGTAGCTGCCGGGTGCCGTGAATGCCACTCGCAATCCCCGGAGTCGCCCATGGCCGAGAGCAGCGCTGCATTTCCATGGCGTATGCCCTAGCTCCATTGCTGGACACGTGGCACATAAAGCCCTAATCCTCGCAAAAAGAGATAAGGAGATCCTTTGCTATCTCCATCTTCTACGATGCCGCCCGGAGCACAAGCTTTTCCTCTTGCTCTTCCTGCCCAGGTCGGTCACCACTTGGCACTTCTCCTTGCCTTGATCTCGCGAGGTTGATGGAACTCAACTGGTGAGCGCAGGGGGTGGTGGCGGAGGCACGGATCTCCCTGGATGACTTGCACAAGAGGATGCAGCAGAGCGAGGGCAACGCGTCCAGCATCGAGCGGCAACTCAACGACGTCCGGACGCACCTCAAGGCGCTGCGCGACCAGGTGACGCTCGACGAGACAAACGTGCAGAGCATCGACCTCGACTCCATCGCCGCATGCCTCAAGTCGCACGCCGATGAGCATGATCCGGAACATGTCCATGCCGCGGACAATCCCGATCGCGAAGAGGTGCAGCTGGCTCTGGAAGGAGTCGACGCCGACTTCACAAGGCTGAAGCACAAGGTTGACGAGGTCCAGGCCGAGCTCCAGATCTCATGGATGTCTCTCACCACGCTGCAGCTCCAAGTGGAGGCCAAGCGCGGCGGTTGCGGCGCAATGCTGCTGGGTGATCAACTCGGCGGCAAGAACAGGACGCTGGAGCAGCTCAGTGGCTCGTATGAGCGCCTCCGCCACGCTTTCATCGACAAGGAGGAGGAGCTGAGGCGCGAGAGGCAGCTGGCCAGCAACACGCTCACGGCGCTGGCTGTGACGCACAGGGACATGGACCTCAAGATTGAGTCCGTCAACCGGGAACTGGAGCGTCTCAAGGCTCTGGCGGTGCAGCTCCGGGACTGGTGCTCGGCCACGGAGATGATGGCCGATGAGCAGTGCACACAGCTCAAGCAACTCAGGGCGGATCTCGCATCCATTGCTTCCCGCCTGCTTCACATGATCGACTGGGGTGACCCTGCTCCCAAGCAAGAAGCTCACGATGACAAGCTGTTCCAGAACGTTGAGGAAGCTTGTTCCGCTGCTGCCACTGCTGGCCATGGTGTTGCGCCCCAGCCACCTCCACCACCACCCCGGGGGGACATGTTCCAGGCGATGTCCAACCGACTCGAGGTGCTGGTGCAAGAGTTGAGGTCGGGAAGGGCGGAGCAGGACAAGATGATCGACTCGCTGTGGTCGCCACCTTTGTGTGGAGACCCTTCTCCACGAGGAGAAGAAGTCATGGACAAGGGCCCGAACGTGGGGAAGCGAAAGCTTTCAGAGGCTTTCATTGTTGGTCAGCAACAACAACAACAGCAGCAGCAGCAGCAGCTGGTTGGCGATGAGATTGCCGATCGAGAAAAGGCATTTTTGTCGCAGAAGAAGGCGTTCTTGAGCGGCTTGCGTGAATCTTTCCAGAGGGTGCGGCGGAGGGAGGTGGCGTGCGCGAGCCTAGACAGGCGTCTGCTCAAGGCCCGGCTGCTGCTGGAGCAAGCGCAACGGGGCTGCATGAGCTCCGACTCGGTGTCCATGAAGTCCAAGCGGCAGATCGAGCAGGCGTACAAGGAGCTCGTCCACGTCCAGCGAGACATCGACAACATCAAGGCGGTGAGCCTGGTGGAGCGCCAGGAACTGTCCACCGAGCTGGTGGGCGATGATCATCATCCGCCGCGGGAGCTGTCGGAACTGCTACTGTGCTCGTCGTCGTCGTCGCCGCCGCCGCCGCAAGCCTCGACATCATCCAATGCGGCCCAGCAGCAGCAGTTCGTGTCGCTGTGTGGCGGCGAGGTTGGGAGGGTCAAGGGCGAGCTGGGACGTCAGGTGGAGCTCAACCTCAGGCTCAAGCAGCAGGTGGCCAAGCTGTGCCTGCAGGCGGAGCGAGCCGAGGGGATGGTGGCGGTGGAGAGGCTGGAGGTGGACAAGCTGCGGCAGCAGGTCCAAGGCATCAGCGATCGGCTCAAGCACGAGGCGCGCTGCCTCCACGAGTCGCACACGGCGGCGCTGCGTGCTCGGGACGCGACCATCGAGCAGCTGCGCAGGCAAGTGGAGAGGGACGAGACGCGCAAGCTGCTCAAGGCGGCGCTGGACAAGAACGAGGAGCTGAGCGTGGAGAGGGAGGCGCTGGTGGCCAAGCTCGGGGGCCAGGACTTGGATCTGCTCAAGCTCCGCAACGAGAATGTGTGCTTGGTGGTGGAGAAGATTGCGTTTGAAGGGTCGGCGCGAGCGCTGCAGGACAAGATGGCCAACCTCATGACCAAGCTGGCGCAGACCAAGCAGCACTGGAAGCGATTTGTTGTCTACTGCCAAACATTTTAAACCATCTGTATGTTCTATGATCTTAACTAGGCTTGGTAGGGTTCATATCTATAGAGAGGAGAGAGCGAGGGATGTTCAAGAAGGCGAGCGAGGTCAAGGCGCAGCAGCGCCTCTCTGGCGCCGATCGCAAGAAGCTGCGTCGCAGCATTTGCGAGCGATTCGGCCACGCCACTGACGCGCACATCGAATCCATCCTGCCGGCCAAGGTAAGCCTCTCCTGCATCCATCTCCTCCGACGGCTTCTCAATGCAAATCGCTACGCCAGGCGGATGTCACCGTGGCGAAGCTCGCCAATCCCAATCGCCTCCATGTCTACGTCGTGGATGGAGGGCCGCCAATGCTGTTCGATGTCGATGGTGAAGTCTTTCCAACAGGTTGAGCTTCCTCGATTGATGTGCCAATTCAGACATGCTTCCTCTTGCAGTGTATGCCCTGTGGAAGCTACCATCGCTCCTCCCAGCTTTTATTCTCAAGGGTGCTGAAGTCTCACGCTACGTTGTTGGTGGTGCCGATCTTATGTTTCCTGGCATCACTATACCCCCGGAAGGCTTGCCAGAGTTTGAGGCAGGCCAGCCGTGGGTTGTCAAGGTGCCGGGAAATGACTTCCCCATTGCTGTAAGTCTTGTTCTTCCTTTCTTTTCACATCAACCAACGATTTTCACTCGTCTGCAGGTTGGAACGACGGCCATGAGTAGTACCGCGGCTAAGAAAGCTGGCTATCGCGGCAAGGCCCTTCGCATTTTGCATTTCTACCCTGATACGCTCTGGTAAGGAAAGCTTTTAGAGGTTGAAGTTTTGTCGCTGAAAAGGTATTCGGTGCTGCCGATTGTGTTTCAAACAGGAGCTCGGCTGAGGGAAGATACGTTCCCAATGCGGGTTTCTCGGAGGGCATGATTTCGGAAGATCCATCCACCAGCCAGCAGGCGGGTGATGGTGAAGGCAGCGCTCAAGGTGTAGACGAACAAGACCAAGAACACGAGCAAGAACAAGAACAAGGTGGTGCCAATAGTGGTGACGATGGGACCGAAATCTATCAAGTAACGGAGCCAGAATATGTGGCTGTGGATGTCAAGGACTTGAAGCTAGCACCGGATACATCGGCTGCCGAAGAAGCTGACGAGGAGTGTAGCAGCATTGAGGTTGGAAGTTCAACGGGTGTTAGCACCGAGGAGATGGACTTGCTACTCGACAGGTGCTTACTGCAGGCCCTGCATACGACCGTCAAGGACAAGGATCTACCCATTCCTGCAAGCATTCTTTGGTAAAGCATTTTATCCGCTCTGTTTTAGCTAATGCTTGTGCTGCATGTAGGTCAGGGCACATTCTTCCTGCCAGGCCTGCAGGTAGCACGGTAGACATCAAGAAATCTTCGCACAAGAAGTTGTCAAAGTGGCTTCAAACCAAATCTGCCAGCGGCTTGGTCGGTATATGATAGCTTCGTGTGTTTCCAGGCATGCTGACTGATTTCTCGCAGATAGTAGCGAAGGAGAGCAAGCCTCGCAAGGAAATCATGTTGTGCAGCGTAAACAGAAGCCATGCGCTATACCAGGAGTTCAAGCCCGAGAAGAAGGTGGCTACCTCTGAACATACCACACCAGATTCGAAGAGCGCAAACGAGAGCGTGCAAAGTCCGTTTGAAGCCGTGGAGGTGTGGAAGCCTACTCACCATGTGGCACCCATATTGAATGCTGTGGGAGCCGATGCATCCAAGTTTTACACCGCGGCCGAGGCAAGTGAGGTGGTGTTTTCGTACGTGGACAAGGAAAGCTTGGTGAAACCAGACAACAAGGCGGTGGTTGCACTGGATGCCGTCTTATGCGACGCTTTGTTCAAAGGAGCTGTGAAGAAGGGCTCGTCGTACCCGTCGGAGGTCTTGAAAAGGGACCTCGGTGCCACATTCCTGGGCCGGATGCAAGCACATCACAAGGTGACCAGAGACGGCAAGTCCGTGGTTCGAAAGGGAGCACTGAGATGTGCACAGATAATAACGGAGCGAAGGCAAGGAAACAAGAAAGTGACGCGGGTGTCGGGCCTCGAGTCGTTTCTGGTGGATCCAGATGCGCTAGCAGCGGAGCTCCAGAAAAAGTTTGCGTGCAGCACATCGTTGGCCGAAGTCCCCGGTAAGTTTGTCCGCTTTGTATTTAGGTACTTGTTTGAACTCCGGTTGTTTGGGATGTATGCAGGGAAGAAAGGCGAGAAGGAGATACTCGTCCAGGGTGGCGTCATAGAAAACCTTGGGAAGCATCTAGTGCAACAGTATGGGATTCCAAAGAAGTTTATTGAGATACTGGATAAGACGAAGAAGTGATCAACTGGTTTGGGTGTCGTCGCCTTCCTGTGGGGTGGTTTTGGCGTGGAGGAGTTGACAGACTGCTCGCTCGAGTCGATGCTTATCTCGGGTGGCGAACTTGTCGACTAGGCAACCGTCCTGCTCGCGCGAGAGATTAGAAGCGAGAGATACAAGAGCCCCCCTCCCTTACCTGAAAGATTGCAAACAAGGGAACGGAGGAAACGGAGTAGAATTCGGCCAGGTCCTGCAGAGGTTGCGAGCAAATAAGGTGAAATCATTCTTTCCCAGCTAGCCTACCGTGAGTTCGTCGTAATCATCCAGAACGTTGTGCTTGACAAACACAATCTGACTCTCATCGCTGTGCTCGTCGTCCTCCTGGGGATCTGCTACGCACTCGTCACTGCTGCATCCCTGCCTGTCTAGACACAGCTTGTTTCTTCGCAATAGTGGTGGTAGTCACTCACCCGTTTGCACAGCTTCACGAATTGGGGTAGCATGTACTTGCAAGCACCGCACGAGGTGTTGTAGAAATCCACCACCACCTAAATGGAGAGAGGATTGACAAGCGCTCCAAAGGAAGGCATGGACTGCGAACCAGATCGTGCTCCTCTCGGGCGCGCTCCAAAATGGCATCGAATTCCTGCAGGTTGCTTACTACGGTGACGCAGTCCACGGGGCACGAGATCTCCGCCTCAGCTCGTCGTGCATCCGCTTCCTGGCTGCTTGTTTATACTTTTGTGATCGATCACACGCACGCACACGCACTCACCTCCTGGCGCTTGAGAGATTCCTCTAGATGCCGCTTTCGATCCACCTGGATACCGGCACACGCGACATTCCGGTGTGGCGTCCCAGGAATTCCCGCAGTCTGGAACCACGACCTCTTGCCCCCCACAAAGCGGCTGCTACCAACGATGCTAAACGCCGCCAAATCACGCCCGATAGCGGCCATGGAGATTCATGAGCTTATGAATGCTCAAGACGCAACACGGGCTCTTGTCGCGATTCACGAGATATTTCTCTCGCTAATTGGTTTCAAATGATAGCATGGTGGCGTAGTGGATTAGTGTTTCGAGATCAAGCCTAGAGTGCCAATTGTTCACAGTAACCAGCACCAAGAGAACAGAAAAACCACCGAGCCTAAGCTTCTAGCCCAATTATCCCTGCATCACAAGAGCCTAGTCTTTACCATGCCAGCTTTTTCCATAAGATATAAGCGCTTACCACAAGCAACTCTTGCACCCGCATTACCAGTTTCCTTGCTCAGCTCGTGACCACCTGCAAGACACAGTTGCACAAACAACAGGCACTCGAAGATCGTATATATATCTATACCTTTGCCGAGATCATCCGGGTCGGCATGCACCACAATTGCCCTGCCAATGATGGAATGCGGCCCGCACAGCTTTATCTGCATCATCATCCAAGTTAATACCATGGCATGGAATGATCCTCTTCGCTACGACTACCTGGCTGTCTTTGATAGAAATCTCCACCTTTCCTGGCGTAGCAAGCAAACCCAAAAGTGTGAGAGGTTCGGTGGATCGGGCATCCATCCAAGCAAGCTACTCACCGCTGTCGCCTGCAGTGAGGTTGCCAAGGTCACCAACATGCCTGGTGTCGTCCTCGGGAGCACCGTGTTCCTTGTTGGTGGGATTGAAATGTGGACCTGTAAGCAACACACATGCTCGCTCGGGATCGCTCAAACAGAACGGCTCTACCCGTGGAGTTGCACCCGTTGGTGGTATCACCCAGCGCGTGGACGTGGAATCCATGCTTGCCCGGGCTCAAACCGGTGACTTCGCCCGTGATAGTGGACGGCGCACCTGGAGAAGCAGTCACTCACTCCATCACATTTGGTGGAATGGGCTTTTTTTTTACCTTCGTTCTCCTGGCTGAAATGCACCACCCCGCCCACCTCGCTACCCAACAGGACCGCCACTGCCTTCATCTTCTTTTCTCTCGCACCAAGAAAATACAAGGCAGCGAACTGCAAGAAAAACCAGATTTAATAAAGCAACACTTGAAGCCATGCAGGGCGCCACGTACATCGGTGCTGCAACAAAAGCAGGAAAAATGAAAACGAAAAATAAATTATGGATGTGCAATGGTGCATTGCAGCCGAAGCTCCTGGAGCTGCCTGGGATCAACTGTGGATGGTGTTCTTGTGAGGGAGCAGTGAGCAGCCGTTGTCTTTGGAAAGGCAATCACATCCCGTATCGATTTCTCTCCCGCAAGCAGCATTACCAGCCGGTCCACACCATACGCGATTCCTCCTGCCATTCATTCTCGCCACTTATTTAGAACAGCAAGGTCGACGATACCATGCGGAGGAGCACCCAGCTCTAATGCTTCCAGCAAATAGCCAAACTTATCTTCCGCCTGGACACGACTGCAGATGGAGTCACTAACTACAAACAGAAAAGATTTCTAGAACCTCTTGAGCGCTCAAACCGGATGCCTCGAGCACCTTTTGCTGCACGTCACGCCTGTGAATCCTCAAGCTTCCACCCCCAATCTGCAGCCAGCATTTCAGTAAGCCAACAGCAGGATATCACTTACTTCCACGCCGTTGTAGACCATGTCGTAAGCAAGAGCACGAGCAGAGCTGAGATCCTTCATGTCTTCTGGCCTCGGAGCGGTGAATGGATGGTGGAGCGCCTGGCGGAAGGACGTACATAAACTAGCTAGTGAGCATCAGCTTACCTCAAGCCGCTTTTCCGCGTCGTTCCACTCGAACATAGGAAAATCAGTGATCCAAAGAATGTCATTGCGGCTCTGCAACCACGAGTTCAGTCGCGATCAAATCGGGAATGCGTCACACCTTGTCAATGAGGTTCTCACTTGTCTCGGCAATAAGCGTTCGCAGTCGGCCGAGCGTCGCGTTGACGAGCGATGTAGGCCCGTTTGCAAAGATGATCACATCCCCAGGCTTTGCGTCACATTTGGCCAGAAAGTTGTCTCTCGTCTCAGGACAAGACAAGCTCGACTTGAGCGCTGTGCTGCCTTCCACCTCTCCTGCACAGAAAGCCAGCTATTTCGTACATGGATGAATATAGAGAGATACCTCCTTCGGCCACCTTGAGAAAAGGCAGGCCTTTAGCACCGCATCTGACTGCTTCTTGATATATGTCCCCCTTCTTCAACCGGGTGGCTGTGATCGACTTGCCGCCGCCACACACTGTTATTGCCTTGACAACACCGCCTTCGCTGATGGCTGTGGCGAACGGAGCAAAGCTCGATTTTTCAAACACATCCGACAGCTGTTGTTTTCTTTAAGACGCGTTTTAAAGCTTCCAAGTTTGACGTACCTCGACGAGTTGCATTCCGAAGCGTGTATCAGGCTTGTCTGAACCATACTTGGACATGGCCTCGGCATACGTGAGCCGTGGAAAGGGATCCGGAAGTTCTACGCCTTTAATCTCCCGGAAAACCTGGCATCCGAGCGAGTGAGGCGAGCGCTTAACCGATGCTAGCACTTACAAGCCTGATGAGGTCCTCATTGAGCTCGAGCATATCTTCCAGCGGTGTGAATGCAAGCTCCATGTCGAGCTGCGTGAACTCGGGTTGACGGTCGGCTCTAAGATCCTCGTCCCTGAAACACCTGGTGGAAATGCACGCAAGTGAGTGAGCCAAGCACACGTATACGATACCTTGCAAACTGAAAGTATCTATCGAAACCAGACACCATGAGCATCTGCTTGAACAGCTGCGGGCTCTGGGGAAGAGCGTAGAAAGTGGCTGGCTGCATCATATTTTTTTTCCTCCCAAGTTAGTCACGCAGGCTGCAATCACTGATTCACCTGCACTCGCGATGGCACCAGGTAATCTCGCGCTCCTTCGGGAGTGGATCTCGACAGTATCGGTGTCTCCACCTGCATTGCAAGCTCTAGCCGTCCATCAAAATCGCAAGCTCAAGCCAACCTCGACAAAGCCGTGGACGTCTTCCAAGTAACGTCTCATGAGCTTGACGATGCGGTGGCGGAGCCTGAGGTTGGCATTCAGCTGGGGGCGCCGCAAGTCCAAGTGTCGGTATCTACAAACGCAAACATGCGTGCCTTGGAAGCACTGGCTGGCCCAACAAGCAGTTTACCTCAGACGAACTTCCTCGGAGATGACGTTTTTGGACTGGTCGAGGGGCGTGACCAAGAAAGGAAGGTTCAAGGTGACGGGGTTGAGCACCTCAACCTTGTCCGCGATGATCTGACGCAAAGCACGATCAAAACCATATGCGAAGGAGGACAAGAGAATACTTCGACGCTTCCAGTCTTCAAATTTGTGTTGGCGGCACCCTGAGGCCGCGAGCGCACTGTTCCCTCCACCGCTACCACGTACTCTATTCTCAGCCTCTCCGCCACCGCCTGTGCTCCGCCGCTACTAGCCTCCGCCGCCGCAACCTGGCATGAAGCTTACTTATAAGAAATGGAAAGATGACAATCCAGCTGCTCGCCTGCACCATTCCCGTGTGGTCGCGAACGTTGATGAATGTGACGGCGCCATGGTCGCGACGGAGCGCAACCCAGCCACAAATGCGCACCCTCAGCCCAATCTCCGCCTCACTCACCTCGCCACAGTAGTGGCTCCGCCGCACCCACTTGAGCTGCTCGCCTTGCTGCTCCTCCACCCCAGCAACACCAACACCAGCAGCAGCAGCAGCAGCAGCACGGGCACCAACACGACGCGAGGATGGGCGCGCTCGGCGAGGAGGGCATTGGACGCATCTCGGCAGCCATGCCGAGGAGGAGGACGAGTGAGACGCTGGAATGGTTGTGCCTAACATACAGGCCATGGGTTTATAATAAAACGCAAGTGTTTGTGGCTTTTACACATTAGCACGCGTAGCTATTGCGAGAGCGTAGATTCAAAGTGGCTTGTCAATCCCGTCATGCCCGGCAGCACCAGCATCCAAAACAGGGCCGTCAGTGATCCCACCAGGAAGACAAACAAGAGGTTTCCCCCATAGCGACCACCCTTGGCCTTGTCTTGTCGCTGCACCACGGCACCAGCAGCCTGCTTCCACTTGGGCGAGATCATCTCGACAGTCACACGAACGTTCATTGTTGTGGCTGCCACTGTCGACGACGATCCCTTGTCTGGGTGCTCTGCTGCCGAGGCCGGAAGAACCTGAACCGACCCAAGCAGACTCAAGATCTTCTTCAATGGACCCCTGTCTCCTCCTTCCTCGCTATCGTCACCATTAGCCAGGTAATAGTCGCCACCTCCTGGCAGGCAGTGGTCGTCCATGACCAGCAAACTGTGCTCGTCGGCTTCCCTCCAGTTGGACGTCAGATGCTGGCAGCACAGCCCATGTTAAAATGCGTCCCACTTGCCTTCACCGGAAAAACATGCTCCTCACCTTTGACGGCGCGTCCACAATACAGTCACCCGCGCCTTGATCGCACTTGTCCTCAAGATTGGAGAAGTCACCAAGCTCGATAAAGTCGTCTTCAGCCAAAACCTTCATCAGATCTTCTGGCTGGTCAATCTGTTCCAGGATACCCTCGGGATCAGCAAAAGACAGCTCTCCAGGGTTCCTGTCTGGGTAATCCATCACCTGCAATCAATCAATCCACAAGTCAGCATGGCCCTGGCAAGCTTTCAGTCCGTCACCTGTGCCAGGTCAGGAACTGGCTCGTCCAAAAGCATGGCAAGGAAGGCATCGAGCTCATCGTTTCCGCCCGGTGCCTCTTCCTTTGCAGCCTCTGTGTTGGTCGTAGTCTCCACGGACGCCACCTCCGTCTCCGCGGCAACCTCCACCTCGGCTGTTTCATTGTCGGCCGTCTCATTGTCTAGCGAGAAGAACGAATCCCCCTCCGGATAGCATGGGACGTTCTCCTCCTCCTTCTTGGCAGTCGACTTCCTAAACACCCGGCAAACAACGAATGCGTCCTGCGCATACTGGGAGGACGGTGTCAGCTTTGAGAGACATAGGGTGTTTTTCTGTGGACTTACCGAGCACTTACGATCATCCTCGTCCAGTCGGTACTCGTGCATAATCCAGTCCGTCCTCTGGCCGTGGGGCGCCCTGCCGGTGTAGAAAACCAGCGTCTTCTTCATACCGATGTCGCGAGATCCCGAGCGCACGGTTCGGTCCTTTCCAGTCGCCTTCCAGTAGCCAGCTTCGGTGGCCCGGTTCGTCCGCCAGCCATTGGGATACTTCCTGTCGCGAGGGCTAAAGAAGTACCACTCCACATCCGTCACATACGATTTCCCTGTGTGAGCACAGACGATGGGTGAGCGGAGCGGAAGGAAGGAAGGAGCTAAGCTCGACTAGGCAGTACATACCAGGCAAGTCCCATGGCTCGCACTTGTAGAGATCCACCTCGGCAATTATGTTGGCCTGGATGCTGCGCCCCGACACCTTTCGCGCCAGATAGAAGCCCACAAGCTCCTGATCCGTGGGGCGGAATCTAAACCCTGGCGGCCACTGCTTACCGGGCGATGGAGAAGACGAGGACGCCATAATACGTATGGATGGTGGCGCCGCCAGCTCAAGCCCCGCTCTCTCCCATGGCCCAAACCCCTCTTTTCGCTCTCCACGCTGCTCAGACCACTTCAATAAGACCTAAGTAGGACAGCCATAGATTTTATCATTTAAGTCCCCTACTTTTTACAAACGCGCTTAACGATGGTTCTCGCCCCAGAAAACCATGCACAAGCTCCGCTGCGTCCTTGCTCGCGCCTGGCACCAACACCTGGGGATCACAAACAACGTTACCACAATCCGCAAGGCCTTTCCTCGTACCTTGTCCCGAAACTCCTTGCCTGCCGAAAAGTTGCTCACTTCACCAGCAAAGCCACTCTCAAACATGTCTTCGGAGAGAACCTGTGCAAGCATGTTAAACGCACAAGACGACCGACTGATTTTTCCCACTCCTTCACCTGATTCCACAAGTAGCTGTAGTAAGTGCCGTCATACCCGCCCATGAGATGTGTAAACGACGTGCTCAAGTCCGTCCCTTCCAGCATCGGGATCCCTTCCATTACCTGGACTCTCGTTCACGTGACAAAGAGAAACAAGACAGAGCTGGTGGCTAACCTGGGTGTGGAGCTGCTCGAGAACGGAAACAGTATCGAATTGGTCGCTTGAGTGCACGATCAAATCGAACAATGCTGCCGCGGGAACCAAAAAAACGAAAGCATCATCAAACAGACAGAAATGAGTAGCGAGTTATGTGTACCTAGCAAGATCTGCCTTTTCGTCAGAAGCCCGGCATGGGTCTTCTTCTTTCGCACTAGTAACTCGCAAAAGCTGTCCGGGACAGGTTCTCTAGTGTCCTGCAGGAGTCTACGAATATCAATTAGCAAGCTTCATGAGCTCGACGAAAATCACCACCTTATAGAAGCCACTCATACGCTTCAACGACGACTTTTCAGAGCACCTGTGTCAACAGACGTTAGCAAACGAGACATCCATAGTCGGCCTACCACTTTTCGAGCATTTTGCTGGGAGCTTCCACGAAATCATCCTCGACCCGCAGACCGGAAAATCTGGCGAACGATGGACGGCTGCAAATGTGATGCATCTGCAATATAAACATGTTTAAGAAAGGGAGAGCGAAGGGAATAGCACAAGTACTTGCCACGTGACCGAATTCGTGAAAGAAAGTCTCCACTTCTGGATAACTCAGCAGGGCAGCATGTCCTCTCCTGAAGTTCGCAAGCATAGCCGCGACTGGCAGCTAGACAGTAGAACTGAGCTCATTCCCAAAAATTCAATCTCTCCAGTCAATGCTCTTACCTGACCGCTGCGAGTAGAGGAGGGCTGAAGAGGACACACGCAGGCATGCGAGTACTTTCCATCCCTACAGCCGGAGGACGAGATAAGCAAACAAACTCTCGTGATACATAGTAGAGCAGAATGGAAATACCTGTGATAAATATCGAGGTAGAAATAGCCAATTGTCTTCTTCGCATCTGTATCGCTAACGGCAAAGAGCCGCACATCTGGATCCCACGCTCCCCGCTCCTCCTTGATTTCTTCGAAAGTAAGACCTGAAAACTCAAATGACAAACACAACAAAAATTAACCAGAAAGATATACCAAACAGCTCCTGATATATTTGGAAGAGACCATTGGTAACAACCTCCACAGGAAAATATTCTCTGATCTTTTCCGTGATTGCTTGAAACTCGAGCTCTTCAACTCTATGCATATAGTATAGAAGATCTTCCATACCAAACTCCTCTCCCCCTTCCTCGGCTTTCTACAGTGATAAAACTTTAGAGACCGTTAAGAAAATGCATATGGCAGACCTTTAGAGCCCGAAGCTTGTTCAACTCTGCTGCTGCAACTGACGACATCTTTGCCGAAAGGCTGAGGAGGAAGTTCTTTACCTGAAGCGAAACCAGGTGAGCCATGAAGAAGGTATTATAGCTTCTAGTTTCCTACGTTGGTAAAACTCTTGGCCATACGGCTGGAGGTCACGTACTCCACATGATTAGGATAACCAAGCAGGCGAGCCAGTCGATGACGTAGCTTCACCTGGAAAGGTCCAGGCATAAGCGATCGTGAAGAATTCATGCACGAACCACGTTGTGGAAGATTGGAAGATTTTCTGCGATGCAACGTTTATCATATGCCACTGCCAATGCCTTGCGCGTGCTTCCTACCTAGGGATGAGAAGAACCGGTTTAGAGAGAAAGCATTACAGACATTCAGCCCAACCTTGCAATTCTGCATGACTGGGAAGTAGTAGCGAGCATCGAGCGGAAGCTTGAGCTTGCCATGCTTGCCCTTCTCCAAGTTCTAAAAGTGAAGGAAAAAGAGAAAACAGGACGCAAAAAGGTGTCATATCAAGGCGGCAACGGAGACGTGTCTACAAACCTTAACAAACGTTATCGGTAAACCCGCAAGCTCATCCTCGTTGAATAGTAGAACCTCATTGAGCTGCGCGAGGTTTTTCTGGAAGGTGATGCAGAGTTCCCCGATAGTTTTCTTGATCTTGTCGACTTCGGATCTCATTTCGGGAGTCAGGTGCAGCCCAAGCCTCTCGTAATCCCTGACCTGCATGGGCAGACTTCGGTGGGAGGGAGTAAGCAAGCTTTAGATGAGTACCAGATGGTTGACAAAACGCTGAGTTTCAGGCGGCAGGTCCTCTTTCTTCTCAGCATAGGCCTTGACAACGCGGTACACGTCCTCCCGGAGCCTGCTCATCGCGAAACATCGTGAGCACAAGGAATGCATAGGTACGAGGCAACCTGCATTTGGCGTTGTATGCCTCAAACATCTTCTCGGCTTTGACGCTGGCATCACGGACGTCTCTCGCCGGATTCACCAGACTCGGGAAGACGCACGACTGAACAGCCATGAACTCGTCAGCTTCCAGCCTTTCCAGGGGCTCAATCACCGACTCGTAGGTCACCTGACTCCCAAGCAAGCAAACAAAAGCTTGTCATGCTTGCTTCTACGAGAATGAGGCTGGTTACCTGGTCCAAGGGCACAGCGGCGACGGCGTCGTGAACTCGGATGGAGTTTGCAATGACGTGATCCACCGCTCTGAGGATCTCCCCGGCGGAGAGGCTGGATCGGAACTTGATGTCCTTGCATCCTCCTCCTCCTCCTCCTCCTCCTGCTGCTGCTGCTGCTGCTGCTCAGGTATTAGGGTTGCCGCCTTGCGCTCTGCTCACATTCAAGCAGATCCATCGCTTACCTCGATCCTTGCCTCCGCGCAGCAGCGTGAGCAGCACCCTGGCTGCGACCAGTGTGCCCAGCGCCGCCCCCGCGGCCACCGCGATCCTCCTCTGCCGGCTTCCACCCTGCGCCTGCTTGCCGGCCATCCTCCCTCCAGCTCGCCAGTAAGCTCGGGGAGGATCGACCCGTGGTTCGAAACGGGGGATCGCCAATTAGGTTATTAAGTAATGCGATGATGATAGGATGCGAATGAGTGAATGGCGATCGAGGGGAGCTCTTAGGGTTTTGGTTTTGCGTATGACTTGAGGTGAATGGCCAGTGCGCTCCTCTCCCCTCTTGGCAGCAGGGCTCAGGTGCTCCTCCTCCTCCCCTCCTCCGCCACTTCCTCCGCCGCCTCCCTCCACACACGCGCGCACATATGCTGGCGGAGAGGCAGGCGATTGCTCCTGCCCCCGGCCGCCACGCTGCGCCGCCCGTTCGCCTTGAATCCCGACTCCACGCAGCAGAGCGAAACAGAGGAGGATGGTTCTCCGCGGCCGCCTCAATCAGAAGAAGACTGCAGCAATGGGGGCAGTGCCAGCAATGGGGCGAGCGTGGAGGCAGCAGTGGAGCAGCAGCAGCAGCAGCAGGAAGAGGAGCAGATGAAGGTACCGCCGGGGAGCATGCTTGAGCAGGTTTGGGCCAGGCTATATAACATACCTTTGATCCGATATCTCGTCTTGTGGCCTCCCTGGCAACACAAGAAGCGGCTCCACCATCTCCTGGCGGAGGCCGATGCTAATCCCAAGAATCCCTCCAAGCAGGCCGACCTCCTTGCGGAGCTCAACAAGCACAGGTAAGCTCCCACCCCCATCCATTCGTTTCTAGCCAGCCACTCAACCCGGCTGTTGCAGCCCACAGTCTGTGATCGAAAGGTTCGAGCGGAGGGAGCATGCGACCGGCGGGCAGGCTGTTGTGGAGTATCTCAAGGCGCTGGTTGCAACCAACGGCATCGCCGACTATCTTCCCGACAAGCGGACTGGCAGGTCATCAGGCCTTCCTGCTCTTGTAAGAACAGCTGCGTGTACAGATATGAGAAACCACCACCTTTCTCCTGTTGCATTACCGCTAACCATTCTTCCCGTTTGGGTGTTTGGGTGTTGCCAGTTTCAGGAGCTCAAGCTGCACGCCGCCGGTGATCTGGACGAACCCTTCGCTCCTCCAGGCATGACAGAGCAGCAGCCGCTTCACGTCGTTATGGTCTGCTACCTCCTTGTCACCATTTCTCTCGCTCACGCGTCTCCTTTCTGTCATAGGTAGAGCCCAGGAGTTCAAACAAATCAATGAGGCTGATTCAGGAGCTCATATCCGCCGTGCTATTTATGATTGTCTTTAGTGTTATATGGTAGGCACTGTCTGTGGTCGAAGCGACCGACTCTTTGGTGCTTACGGGCGTCGTGTCTTCAGGATTATGGGAACAGCTGCCCTGCGGAAGTACGTCAAAGGTCCAGCGGGTATGGGTCCTCCTTCAAACATTGGCTCCAACGGCATCTACTCGCCGAAGGAATTCAACAAAGAGACAATGCCTGAGAAGGTCTGTCCTCTGCTCTCGATCAAGCATCGGTACAAACTTTTCTTTAAACACCAGAATATGAAGACGTTCCAAGACGTTAAAGGCTGCGACGAGGCCAAAGCGGAACTGGAGGAAATAGTACAGTACTTGCGTAATCCTGCAAAGTTCACACGCCTAGGAGGAAAGCTACCAAAAGTAAGACTCTTAAGTTTCACAATTTCTTCCGTAAACTGTGTGACTCCAGGGCGTTCTACTTGTTGGTCCTCCTGGTACCGGGAAAACATTACTTGCAAAGGTTGGTAGATACAACTTTCGCTCTATGCTGACTTTCATCTGCTGCACCAGGCTATAGCCGGTGAAGCTGGTGTTCCATTCTTTTACCGTGCGGGATCCGAGTTCGAAGAGATGTAAGTAAAGTCAGTTTAGAAGATAGCTTCAGTTGCTTAAGTGTGGGGCTTAAATATGCAACTATCTCGGTTCCTTCAAGTGAGGAACAGGTTTGTTGGTGTAGGAGCTCGTCGAGTGCGCACGCTATTCCAGACTGCTAAGAAGAAGGTAAAAGCATCTAAACTTCATATAACGTTGGACTTACGACAGATGCTCAGGCCCCTTGCATCGTTTTCATCGACGAGATTGACGCCGTTGGAAGCAGTCGTAAAAACTGGGAAGGCCACACCAAGAAAACACTGAACCAACTTCTTGTGGAGATGGACGGATTCGAAGCAAACGAGGTCTGCATGTGTTGCCTGATGTCCTTTGCCATGCATTTACTTGCTTCATTTGATTGTGCAGGGGATCATTGTCTTGGCAGCTACTAATCTCCCGGAGAGTCTGGACCCTGCTTTGACCAGGCCCGGAAGATTTGATCGGCATGTTGGTTCATATTTCGTTTACTGCTTCGTTCTACGTTATTTAAGTGCCAACTTGTTTGCAGGTTGTGGTGCCAAACCCGGACGTAAGAGGACGCCAAGACATACTGGAGTTGTACCTGAAAGATAAGCCGCTCATGGACGATGTGGATGTAAAATGCATTGCTCGAGGGACACCTGGCTTCAGCGGCGCAGGTTGGTTCTGGATACGTTGCCAGCGGCGCTACTGACGACTCCCATTCGTGTGCCTGTGCTACACAGATCTTGCAAACCTGGTAAACATGGCTGCTGTGAAGGCTGCGCTGGATGGAACGGATAAAATCTCCAGCGATCAGCTGGAATTCGCCAAGGACAAGATTCTGATGGGAACCGAAAGGAAATCAATGGTTTTGTCCGAGGAATCGAAGAAGGTTTGCGCTTCTGTGGCATTCTATTGCTATGTGCCTGAATTGTGTTTCTCTTCGTGCATGGCAGTTGACGGCGTACCATGAGAGTGGACATGCCGTTGTGGCATTTAATACTGCCGGCGCTAATCCCATCCACAAGGCGACAATTATGCCGCGTGGGAGCAGCCTCGGAATGGTAGCGCAGCTTCCGGAGAAGGATGAAACGTCCATCAGCAAGATCCAGATGATGGCACGACTGGACGTGTGTATGGGCGGGAGGGTGGCCGAGGAGCTCGTGTTTGGCCCTGACCAGATCACGAGCGGTGCACGTAGCGACCTTGAGCAGGCGACTGCCCTGGCGCGACATATGGTTGGGATACGTCTCTCTCCGTTTCTTGTGCATTCTCATGGGGTCTCTCACTCGTCTCGTGTTGCAGGTGTCCGAGTGCGGAATGAGCGATACGGTTGGCCCCATGTACGTGGACTCGAGGGCCCAACATCCAAGCCACGAGATACAGAAGAGCATCGACGCAGAGGTACGTGCTCCCGTTTGTGTGGCAAGCGAGAATGTTTTTGCTTACCAAGGAGAGGGTGTGTGCAGGTGGTGAGGCTGTTGAAGGAGGCGTATGAGCGTGCCAAGTGCTTGCTGAGAAAGGTAAACTATGGGAAAGGAGCTTAGATTGTTTGTCTCTGCTTGTCTCATGCTTCTCGTGGTGTGCGTGTGTGTGTGCGTGTGCAGCACGAAGACGATCTGCATGCACTGGCCAGGGCTTTGCTGGAGAACGAGACGCTGAATGCATCGCAGATCAAGGAGATTCTACACCACCATCTGCAGCCGCAAGTGGACGAGGATGTTGTGGTAGCAGCTCCAAACTAGATTGTCGTGCTCAAAGCCCCTTTACTTAATTTTTATGTAGAGTTTCTCCTCCCTAAAGCCCTAGGTAGTGGAGAGAAGCTATGTCTGGTGGCATAGCCAGGGGGCGCTTGGCGGAAGAACGGAAGGCGTGGCGCAAGAATCATCCACACGTAAGACGATCGCATCCCTCTTCCCTGCTCATGAATTCCTCGCTGTCTGTGTGGCGTCTAGGGTTTTGTGGCCAGGCCCGAGACCCAGCCCGATGGATCGGTCAACCTAATGACATGGCATTGCACTCTACCGGGCAAGGCCGGAGTAAGTAGCCAAGCCCTTGGAACTGGAGCACTACTAATATGGCTTGCGCTTGGCGCAGACGGACTGGGAGGGCGGCTATTTCCCGCTGGCGATCCACTTCAGTGAAGATTACCCCAGCAAGCCTCCCAAGTGCAAGTTCCCTCCAAACTTCTTCCACCCCAATGTCTACCCCTCGGGAACAGTGTGCCTCTCCATCCTCAACGAGGACTCTGTAAGTTGATTCCCTCTGGAAGCCACTCTCACGCTCGTCTCTCGTCTCTCGTCTCTCTCGTTCCAGGGCTGGCGACCCGCCATCACCGTGAAGCAAATCCTCATCGGAATCCAGGAGCTGCTGGATGCCCCCAATGCCGCGGATCCCGCGCAGTCTGATGCCTATCAGATGTTCATCCAGGTTTTGAGGGTGCTCCCCTGGTATTGATAAAAAAGCGCTGTTTCTTGTGTGGCGTGCAGGATAGAGACGAGTACAAGCGAAGGGTACGACAGCAGGCCAAGCTGTATCCCCCGCCCGTCTGATTGCTTTCACCTTTTACCATGGCCTGGTAAAAGAAGAAACGTAGTGGAAGGAATATTCTTCAAGAAAAATGTGGTATGGGTTGGTTATTATACGCAATTATATGCCGTGGATATTCCGCAAAGTTGTGCCGTGTGGATTGGGCAAGAGCGGGCGGCCGCCCGGCCGGCCTGGGTTTTTTGAGGTTTTGAGCGGGAGAGCCTCTTTCTTGTTTACCTCGCTCGAGTTGGAGATGGAGATGGGAGGATTACTCTAAAGCACACACGGTTTATTAAGGCAGGCGCTAAGTTAAAGTGAGGGCTGCCTGCCCTGCTGGTGGTGCTGTCAGGTTATGCTTTTCTTTTGGCTTTGTTTCGTTTTAGTGCTTGCGGAGCTCTCCTTGGCCTCGTAGCCCCTGCCTAGACACACACAGCAGCAAGCAATCGAGCAGCAAGCAATCGAGGGGGCGGAGGTAAGTGTGTGGCCAAGAAACAAACCAGGCAGCAATCCAATCCAATCCGGCCGTAAAAAAAGGAGGAGTGTTTTTAAGTAGGGCAACAAGGCCCTGGGAGAGGGGAACAGTAGGGGCGCGTAGATCCTGCGGGCTAGGGGGGACAAATGTGGCTGGCTGCTGGGCGCGAGCAAGCAATGTGGGATTTGGGAGGTGGAGGAGGCAGTAGCAGGAGCAGCGGCGGCGGCAGCTGGTGAGCTAGGAGGCCTCTGGACGCGCGAAAGAAGGAGAGACAAGCGAAACAAAGAGCGGTGGGATCACAGCGCGGCGGCAATGGCGGAGTCAATTAGTAGCCTAGACGAGGACGACGGCTTCTTCGACGGATCTTGCAGGGAGAGTGTGGCGTCGGCCATGGGGTTTTGCAAGCAGGACGGGAAATCTTCCAGGCGGAAGACCGCCGTTCGCCCCAGCTTGGAAACGGAAGACATCATACACTTGCTCCACGGCTCAGATCCAATCAAAGTGGAGCTCAACCGGCTCGAGAATGAAGTGCGAGGTAAGCAGCGCTCGGATCTACGCCAATGTACATGTTTCTAAACCCGGCGCCACCGCTTTTGCTTGTCTTGTGCCAGACAAGGATCGAGAGCTGTGCGAGGCGCACGCAGAGATCAAGGCCCTGCGCCAGACGGAGCGGCTCAAGGAGAAGGCCGTCGAAGAGGTAGCTCGTCGCTGATTGATCGCCACCATCACCAACATTTCCTTTTGCAGCTATTTGACGAGCGTGAGAAGTTGCAAGAAAAGCTCAAGGCCATGGAAATTGCTCTGGAAAACAAGGTGCCGTTACTTTTTTCCGCTCTTTCTTGTTCATGACACTTTCCTTTCCCTCGCAGAACCTGGATCTCAAGAGGACCAACGATGAGAGGAAGTCGGCGCTAGCAGCCCAAGCTGCAGCAGAGGCGACACTACGGCGGCTGCATGCCTCCCAAAAGGACGAAGATTTGCTGCCCCTGGAAGCCATCTTGGCACCCGTAGAAGCAGAGCTCAAGAGCACCCGCAACGATGTACGTCTTCTCCTTGTTGCCCCACCCGGTTTCTCACGCTTTGCAAAATTCCCTGCAGTTCTCAAGCTGCAAGACGATAACAAGGCCCTCGACCGGTTGACAAAGTCCAAGGAGGCTGCTCTTCTCGAGGCTGAAAGAGCAGTTCAGTTTGCGGAAGCCAAAGCCTCGCTCGTGGATGACTTGCAGAATCGGAATCAAGAACTTCTCAAACAGATTGAGATCTGCCAGGTACGTTTTGGCCCCTCCTCGGATACCATGGTGCCAAGCCAAGCCTTGTGTGTGCCTTGGTGCAGGAAGAGAACAAGATATTGGACAAGATGCACCGGCAGAAGGTGGCGGAGGTGGAGAAACTGAGCACTACCGTGGCAGAACTGGAGGAAGCACTTCTTGCTGGAGGAGCCGCAGCAAATGCTGCGCGTGACTTTGAGCGCCAAGTACATCACCTCATGGTAGTGCCGCCAGCCACCTTTGGGTCGCACTCACCCCACATTGTCTTTTTACCATTAGGAAGAGAAACGGACGCTTGAGCGGGAACTGGCGCGTGCCAAGGTAACAGCAAACAGAGTGGCAGTCGTCGTTGCAAACGAATGGAAGGATGCAAACGACAAGGTCATGCCCGTGAAACAATGGCTTGAAGAGAGGAGATTCATGCAGGTGCGTGCGTACGTTGTGTGTGCGTGTGTGTTTCTTCCATTCGGCCTAACTAAGTGCGTGTCCTTGTCAGGGAGAGATGCAGCAGCTCCGTGACAAGCTAGCAACTACGGAACGCACCGCAAGGAGTGAAGCCCAACTCAAGGTAGGCACGTACACACTTTGGCTGCCGAGATAGGTGCCCAATGGCTTGATTCATGTGGCAGGAGAAGCTCCAAGTCCGGCTCAAGGTTCTGGAAGAGGGGTTGAGAACATCCACCAACGGTTCCACTCGGAAGCACGACGATTTTTTGCGAAGCGGGACGAATGGTGCCAGTGTGCGTCGTCAATCAACAGGCGGGTCGGACATTGGTAACGGCGTGGCCAGGCGGCGGCCGTCAATGTCATCAGCGTCACAGATGCGGGGCTCGGTGTCCGGCTCCACCATCCTCAAGAACGGCAAGTTTGGATCCAAGGCGTTTGACGGAAGCAAGTCGCTGGATGCGGGCCGGTTTAAAGCCTACGCTAACGGGTGCGAGGAGCCAAGAAAGGTGTCCTCGGCTGCGAGTGGGGCTGGCGGCGGCGGCGGCGGCGGCGGCGGTGGTGGCGGCGACGTAAAGCCTGAGGCCGGCAAGGTGGAGGGAGCAGCAGTCGCTGCAGCCGACGACAACGTGTCCGTCCTCTTCTATGATATGTTGCAAAAGGAGGTGGTGACGCTGCGCAAGTTGGGCCACGAGAAAGACCAAAGCCTCAAGGACAAGGATGACGCAATCGAGGTATATGCGTGGGTTTGGCTCTAGGTGCTCATGACAGTCGGACTTTTGCATGCAGATGCTGTCCAAGAAGGTGGATACGCTGACCAAGGCAATGGAAGTAGAGGCGAAGAAGATGCGTAGGGAGGTAGCAACAATGGAGAAGGAGGTGGCCGCGATGAGAGTAGACAAGGAGCAGGAGAACAGAGCACGGCGTCTTAGCATTGCAAAGGGGAGTGTAAATAGTTCCCATGCGTCATCGAGGTGAGGCAAAGAAAGTTTCTCTTGCGGCGGCTGGCTGACATGGTTGATCGATTCCCACAGGGGAGGATTGATGAGAAGCCCATCAGACATCATGAGGTGAATTGAGACACGGCAATGCGGCGAGCGAGGCGACTAACATACACACGACGACGAAGATTTAGTCTCTCTTTTTTATATTTCCTGTGTGTTGTGGGTTTTACTATGCTGTAAAATTGAACACGTTCATGTTCGTTGTTGTTTGGCGACGAGCCGAGCACAAGGGTATATGCTGTCGAGTTTCTTACCTAGACTGTAGAGCAGAGCGATGCAGGCCGCAATTCCGGGCTGCTCCAAGGCGGCAAGGAAGGAGCCATAGGTAGGGCGCAGAGAGCAGAGAGCACAGATCTGGATCTGGCTCGCGGAGATCTATCCGATATGGCAATGGGCGGCGGTGGCGAGCGGATGCGGTGGAGCAAGCTCTACTCGCTGTCGTGCCTGCGGCCGGCTGTGGCGGAGGAGGAGGAGGCGCGGAGGAGGCAAAGCAGCAACTTGAGCGGTGGCGGGCGGCTCGTGTGGTGCAACCAGCCCGACAAGCACCGGGTGAAGCCGCACAAGTATCGATCCAATTACGTGTCCACCACCAAGTACACGCTGCTCACCTTCCTCCCAAAGGCATTGTTCGAGCAGTTTCGGCGGGTGGCCAACCTCTACTTCCTCTTCGCCGCCGCGCTCTCCCTCACGCCGCTGGCTCCCTTCGCCGCCTCCAGCCTCATCGCGCCCCTCGTCTTCGTGGTGGGCGTCAGCATGCTCAAGGAGGGCGTCGAGGACTGGCGCCGCTTCATGCAGGTGCGTGCGTGTGTGCGTGTGTGTGCGTGGGGCTTTCCGTGGCTCACTCTCCCGTGTAGGACGAGGAGGTGAACAAGCGCAAGGTGGCGGTGCACGTCGGGGACGGCGTGTTTGCGGACAAGCAGTGGAAGAGGGTGCGCGTGGGAGAGGTGGTCAAGGTGACGCAGGACAGCTTCTTCCCGGCGGACCTGCTGCTGCTGTCGAGCAGCTTCCCCGACGGCATCTGCTACGTGGAGACGAGCAACCTCGACGGCGAGACCAACCTCAAGGTGAAGCGCTGCGTGGAGCGCACGCTGGAGCTGTCCGACAAGTCCGACTTCGCCACCTGGTCCGCCCAGGTGCACTGCGAGGCGCCCAACCCCCACCTCTACACCTTCGTCGGCAACCTCGACTTGGACGGCAGCGTGATGCCG